AGCAGGGGAGCTTCCTTCTGGGTGCTGGGACTGGCTCACCTTCTCTGCCCTAGGAGCTTGGGATGGCAGCAGGGGAGCTTCCTTCTGGGTGCTGGGACCAGCTGAGCTTCACTGCCCTAGGAGCCTGGGATGGAGGTGGGGAGCTTCCTTCTGGGTGCTGGGACCAGCTGAGCTTCACTGCCCTAGGAGCCTGGGATGGAGGTGGGGAGCTTCCTTCCGGGTGCTGGGACCGGCTCAGTATTTTCATAGACAACATCATGAAATGCTGCTTTTTGCCTTATTATGTTCATCTTTTTGTCCTGAATTCAAGCTGTTTTCTCTAGATTTCCACTTTCTTGTCATTCTTTTGCCATCCTTTTATTTTTCAGTTTTTCTGAGAGGTCAAGTTGGGTATGTTATCTTTCCTAAGGATGTCCAGCTACTGCTATGCTATCTTCCAGTTTCAGATGTTGATGTAAGAGATCTTCCTATCCTGGCCCTCAGCAAGGTTTTGATTTTTTTGTCTAGGTGCCCAAAGGAGGATTATTTCTTCATCTCTGAAGTCAACATATCAAACAAGATATAGGCCTGTGCTAATTGTTCTGTTACAGATTTTTCCAAGACAAGGAGTTGCCTTTTAATCTTAAGGTTTGTATTCTCTCTCTTTCTCTCTCTGTCTCTCTCAATGCAAAGCATTCTGAAAATAATGTTATATTTTTTTCTGGGTTCCATTTGTCCTACTTTTTTTTTCAGGGATTCTATATATTTCATTTTTCTTTTGCTTCCATAATTTTTCTAATATTATAAAATTCTGTCTTCCTTTCTACTTTATTTTCCTCAATTCCTAATACGCCCACAGAAGTATTTAGTGTCCTTGGTACTGTTTCCAAAGCCACCATAATTTACAATAGCCTTAGTTAACCCTTCAATTTCTTACTTGAGCTTTGACATGTCCTGTTTCATCTTTTTATATTATCTTACCTACCTTCCCTGAACTTTAAAAACTTCTGTTTTAATCTATTATTTGAGAAGCTTGGAATTCCAAATATCACAATTTTTATTTGTTCCATGGCAAGATTTTTTTTCAGTGAATATTCTCTGACATCTGTCTCTCCCTACATCTTTCTCTTTTCCTTGTAGTTTCCTTTTAAAGGTTCATAGGCAGTTCTTTTTTTATTATTAATCTTTTTTTTTGGTACTGGGGATTGAACTCAGGACTTGTGTTTGCAAGGCAGGTGGTGGAACCACTGAGCTAAATCCCTAGCCCCTTATTAATCATTTTAAAAAAAGTAATTCCCTTTGTAAACCTGTTCCTCTTATTCTGGGCAAGGAACAAGCTGCTTACTGGCTCTTTGATTTGAAGATGTATAAGGAAGGAGTTGGGCAGCACTAGAAGACAGCGGAAGTTCTCCCTGGCTCTCAGTCAGGTTCAACACAATTGAAGCAATTAGATTTTATTTCTTTCGGACTCATTAAATGCACTATACCCAACTGGATGTGTCTCCTCTACATTTCCCCAACACAATGGTCGGCAACAGTGGCACGGGTGAGTGAAGAAGTCTATAGCCCAAGCAGTGTCTGCTTTCCACTCCGCCTTACAGATGGTTTAGATGACATGACTGTATACTTCTACCATTTCTTTCTCGAATCTAGAGAAGTCTTCACTGCCAGGGTGTTCCCACTGTTCTTGGTAAAGAGCAGGCGACCTGCTGGATTTGTCCATGATTTCAAGATGTACAAGTAGGATCCTTTTTAGGCATCTTCCCTCTACCACAGCCTTCAATGTAACTGGCAGCCCTTCCTCATACCCTGGGAGAATTTGTGAATTAGTTTGCCATTCTACAGGTTGTTTGTAAATAATTTCCAAGAAGAGAATACAGTGAGTCTATGTTTAGCATTTTAAAACTCAAGTCTTATGTTACTTGTTACTTCTGTGGTTCTGTTTATAGTTTCAAATCACTTACTTATAAAAATGGTCCCTGGGGCTGGCGATTTAGCTCAGTGGTTCCGCCACCTGCCTCACAAGCTCAAGGTCCAGAGTTCAATCCCTGGTACCAAATAAATAAATAATAATTTAAAAAATGGTCCCTGACTTGGAGTAGCTCGACTTACAATTTTTTGAATTTATGATGGTGCAAGAGCAACAAGCCTTCAGTAGAAACCGTACTTTAATTTTGCTCTTTCCCTGGCCAGTGAAGTATGGTGAGATACTCCTCCAGTGTGGGCTACAGCAGTGAGCCCTAGCTCCCAGTCAGCCACATGATCATAGGGTAAACAGCAGGCGCTCCGCAGTGTGGTGTGTTGCTAAGCTACGCCAGTCAGTAGGTTAAGATATATTAATGCACGTTCAATATATGATATTTTCAGCCAGGTTTATTTGGAAAGAACCCCATTGTGAGTGAAGAAGCACTAGTATCACTATTTCTAGATCCACTGTAAGATAATATCATTAGCCTTACTTTTTCTTCTGAATTTAAACTGATTGAATACTCAACATTGCCAGGTTGTTAACATGTATATTCTATTCCGAGTAGGCCTTCCCTAGTTTGTTTATAAATTATTTCTAAATGTGAAAATAGTGTTCACATTATTCTGACAAGGTTTTTGGAAGAACAAGTTGGTGTTGAGAGTGCCTTTATCTCAGAAAGACTGTTTTTAGTGTCAGTAACATCTTAAAAATGGCAATAAGATCTTCAGAATCTTTTTAAATACAGGTCTGGTGGTGATGGGTTCTCTCAGCTTTTGCTTGTCAGGGATGTCATTTATTTTCACTCTTAAAGAATACTGTCACAGCAAGAGAATAGTAGAGACTGATACAGCTTTTTTATGTCTGTGCTTTGAACATGCTTTTTCATCATATTCTTGTCTCTTTTGTTTCTGATAAGAAGTCAGTTAACATTCCTGTCTTTGTTCCTGTGCACAGGATGTGTAGTTTTTCCTCTAGTTGCTTTAACAATCTTCTCTTTACAAAGATTTCAGCAATGCAGTTATGCTGGGCCTAGAGTTTTTTTTTTTAAAGACAGGGTCTCATTCTGTAGTTCAGGCTGGCCTGGAACTCATGGTCCTCCTTGTAAGTGCTGAGAGCCACCACCATCTCCAAATTTTCTTTCTTTTTAAAATCCTGTTATAGTTTACTAAGCTTTTGAGATCTTTAAGTTGCTTTTCAGCATATATGAGAAAATTTTGTCCATTATTTCTTTTCTTTTTTCTTTTTGAATTTCTTTTAGGGGGAGGGAATTTAAGACAGGGAGTTGTTGTGTAGTACAAGGTGGCCTTGAACTCTCTATGTGGCCCAGGCTGAGCCTGAATTTGCGATCCTCCTGCCTCGGCTCTCCAAATGTTGGGATTACAGACTTGCACCACCATAGCTGACTATTTCTTAAAATAATATTTCTGCCATATTTCTTCGTTTGTTATTTTTTTTAAACAAAGTTTTAAAGTTAAGAAAAGAAACAGGGCTGGGGATTTAGCTCAGTGGCACCATGCCTGCCTTGCAACCACAAGGTCTGAGTTCCATCCCTGATACCAAAAAATAGAAAAAAAAGAAAAGAAACAGGCTCTGCAGAGTGAATCTGGGCTGAGTAAAAGTATGAAAAGAAGTGCAGTCTACAGAGTGAGGGTGAGCCACCATGCAGGATTGAACACAGCGGTCCCTTTGTTATTTTTTATTTTTGGTACTCCAAGGGCATGCATTTCATCACCACTTGATATTATCTCTATTTTGAAAAAAATTCTCTTTCATTTTTTTCAGATCAGACAATTTCTATAGATCTACATTCAAGTTGACCCCCTTTTTCCCTGATAGCTTTAATTCTTTGTTAAGTCTGATAAATATTGCATATTATGTATTATATCTTTGAGCTTGGAGTTTCTCCCTATTTTTTAATAGCTTTAATTCCTCTGTCACTTGACCATATTTTCCTTAAATTTATTGAACATAGTAATAATATCTATTTTAAAGCCCTTTTCTGCTAATTCCTACTTCTGTGTCCCCTTTAGGTATATTTTTATTGAATACTTCTTTCTTTAAATATAGGTCACATTTTCTTGTGTTTTTAGATGTCTAATAATTTTTTATTGTATGCTGGACATCATTACATGGTAAAGTATCTAGATAATGTTGTCTCCCCTGAAAGAGGTTCAGTTAATTTCAAGGCAGCAAACCAAAATTTAGAAACTGCATATGAGGTTCTAATTTTTAGCAGTAGAAAGAAAACGGTGCTTTATCAATCAGAAGGAAGGATATTATAAATGAGTTTATGAGTGGATCAGGGAACTTACTTTAATGAAGCAAAACCTCACAAACTTCTCAAATTGTGATTTGGTCTCTGAGTTACAGAATGCTGACACAGGGATGGCTGCTAGTTTCTGAAAAAATAAATAGAATTAAATAATAACCAAACCACTTATATTTAAAACACTAATTTTGAGGCAACAGACATTACATTTTTTTTTTTTCTTTCTGTTTTGAGGATTGAACTCAGAGGCACTATATCCCCAGCACATTTTTTATTTTGAGATAGGGTCTTGATAAGTCACTAAGTTCTCCAGGCTGGGCTTAACCTTGAAATCCTCCCACCTCAGCCTCCCAAAGTGCTGAGATTACAGGTGTGTGCTGGATTGCCTAGCTTGATATTTTTAAATATGTGCAACCATTTCTAAAATAAAAAATGTTTTTAAAATCCCCCCAAAAGTCACAAGTGGAGTATCATGTAACAAAGCTACAATCAATGTTGTTCAAAGTGAAGGACCCTAGTTAGCAAGACAGGCTCCATATTGCTGCTGAACGACCCACCTGCCTGCCCTTTAGATGAACTCAAAAGGTGGAAGCTTAGAAACCTCCTCCCCTTAGAGAGCCTCTTAGAAACAACAATTAATCAATTATTGTTTTACAAATGTTCTAAGACAGGACGTTCTGCTTCTGTACCTTTTGCTTGCTTTGCTAGTTCTATCCCATAGGGGGGCCTAGAAACTGCTGGCCTCAAAGGTGTATAAAACATGTTAATCTCCCCCAGTCAGGGCTCGAGTCAGATGCTCGGCTCTGGTCCCGGCTGGTAATAAACTCCTGTGTGGATTTAATATCGGTCTATGGTTGGTTCTTTCTCACTGGGTGCAACACAAAGCACGTGAGCAAGTTTCCTTCATAAATCAACTACAAAATATAAAACAATAATGCAAAGGCCAATAAACATTACCTTATTTTTAGTCATCCATTTCACAAATTTATAGTCATAAGGCTCATTGTTCATCATGTCAGAGAGGTCAGCATCTAAAACAACAATGAAAATTGGGTTGCTTTTGAGTTATATCTTTTTTTGTTGTTTTCTTTTGGGTACCGGGGATCAAACTCGGGTCCTTGCACTTGCAAGGCAGGCGGCAGAACCACTGAGCTAAATCCCCGGCCCTCTTCTGAGTTATATCTGAGATGACACATATTTCAGTTAAGTCCATCGAGATTCAAAATTTTCTCCTGATTTAATCTGACATAGCTTAGAATTTTCTTGGAGGATGTTTGCAACATGCTGGAGTCTCACATTGTATTGCACAGGGAGGCATTCCCAGGAGAGGTATTGATACCCATGGTGATGCTCACACATACACAGACATGCCTGGCCAAGCATGCAGAGGGAGCTGCTAGCACAGGAAGAGGCTAGGAAAGGGGAGGAAAGAGCGAGTGTTGCCTCCCCCTCCAGGAAAAAGGGCTCCATGAGGATTATTAAGGAAATAACAAGTACATCTGTATTTTTCAGGAATAATTACGTTTCTTAGACATTTTAACCTCCATGAGGGTAAAGTGTTTAGTTTGCAACCTATTGCATCCCCAACTCAGGTCAGCAAGTAATAAAAAGCATATATGTTGAATGAATAAAGTAATACTATTTATTTTTTATAAACAGAGAATGTTTATATCTTTCAAATGTTATACTTGTTGTTTAACTGCTGCTTCCATATACTATGATGTTTTAACAATTTTTTTTATTTTGGGAAAAAGCTGCAAATATATATTTCCATTATTATCATTTTCATCAGTCTTGCTTTAAAGTCTTGGCAGGATATTTTTCTGGCATTTACTTTCAACAATCTATATTTCATATTGTTTGAAATTCATTGGCTTGTGCTCTTATATTTTTTTAGAATGTCCCCAAATACCCAATGTTGATGGTTACTGTAATCAGTGAAGTTTGTAATTTATTGCTCAGAACAAATTAAGGCAGATATCTCCCTTCTTTGACTAAATACTAGTGGGTGCTCTTCAAACTAATCTTTTAAAAGCCTTGACACTGAAGATATATATATATATATATATATATATATAGTCATTATATATTTTTATCTTATAATTTTCTCTCCAGTCTCTCCATACTTTATGGAGAAGGTAAAATTTCCATATAATAACACTAATACTACCACTTTTTGAGTATTTCCTATTTGTTAAGAGTGTTGCATGGTTCTCTCATTTAGTTGTCCCAACAATTTTGAGATATAGCTACAATTCTCTTTATAGATGAGGAAGTTAAATTACTATTTCAAGATATATGTATGTATGTGTGCTTAATTCAAGTTTGGCACTAACAAAATAATAGCTTAATAGTATTAGAATCTAATTGTAAATTGTGTAAGAACTCCATGTGACAAGTACACCATAGTAGTGAATTCAAAATATAAAGATAGCCCAGGGAAAGGCATGATTACCTATGGGTGTAGAAGTCAGAACAAGAGGTTACTAACTGTAACTGACACACTGCACTACTCATTTATTCATTTTTAAGCATTTTTATAGTACATCTTTGTGATAGCTTAGAAAAAAGGAATTGATTGCCATACCGCTGAAAAGGAAGGGAATAAATACAATTATAAAGGCTTTGTAGTTAGAAGGAAGTTGGAATCTATTTCTTTTGAAGTGACTCAGCTAGAGGCACTTAAGGGAATGAAACAAAGTCATTCTTTGTTGAAAGTGAGAGTTTAAACCAAACGCATTAGCATATTTAAGCAGTCAATGAAAATCTAACTTGGCTTTTGAATTTCCACTGCCCTGAATGCTAATTATCCCAGCAGACAAAAGTAATCGGCTACTTATTTATCATCTTTCCTTCTAATCAAATGTTCCTCCTTTTAGTTCTAGGATGAAACTCATGGGTCTGGAAAAGATTCTTAGCAGACAACAAATTAAGTTCACTGGTCAGGGCATAGGTGTCTGGGCTCAGAGCCAACCAAGTTCTGGGGCTGATTAGTTGGTTAACTTCAGTAACGTACTTGATTCTCTGCTCTTACCCATCAACCAATGGGGCACAGAACCTATCTCATGATTTTCTTGAGAATGTGATATTTGCAAAGGTCCTAATATAATACTTACTATATCACAAATGCTCCATACATATTAACCAGTGCACCACTATTAGTTTATAAAGGGAAATAATTACTATGTTCACAAATGTTATGGTTTATTTTTATTCTGAAGCTAACATCAAGCCGAAGCTTTTCTTTTTATCTTTAAGAATGGATACCAACAACCTTTAGTAAATGAAAAAATACAGAGACTGCAAATTAATAGAAACAGACAAAACAGTAAAATAAAAGTTTTCTTCCTGTGTTAGTGGGATTTTACAGAGATGAATATTTTTCTCCATGGGGGAAAAAAGACATAAAGAAGGAACATTTTCCCTACCCCATCCTCATCATCAAAAAAGGTTTTCTAACACATGTCTTTTCTGTACCTATTCAACCAAGATCTAAAATCTAAACTAGTACTGTATAAAGGATGAATTGACTGAGGAAGGAATAGGAAGTGAATTAAGATCTTAATGCAGTAATTCAAGTTGGATCACTGTCCTGTTTTGTTTTTTTACTATCCTTTTGATAATGAGTATCACAGTGTGATAAATCCTTTTTAGAATTTACTATCTGGAAAATTTTAGACCCAAAATGAATTGGTTTTATGTAAAAAGCTGTTAAACTTCCTTTTTCCATGAATTATTTAACAAATTCCCATTTTTCTATTTGTATTTGCTGTCATGAAAGTCTCAAGCTAATGCTAATCATAAAACTACATAAACCTAGGTAACTAAAATATTGTTCATTTACTTCTTGTGTGGCATGATTTTTATTTATATATAGTTATTTCTATTTATATATTATAGCATAGAAGACCACCCCACCCCACCCCCGCCACTAGGGACTGAATCCAGGAACTTTGGATTGAACTACATTCCTAGGTCTTTTTATTTTATTTTTTTAAATTTGAGACAGGATCTTGCTAAGTCTCTATGTTGCCTAGGTTAGACTCAAATTTGCCATTCTCCTGCCTCAACCTCCCAGAGTGCTGGACTTATAGGTATGCAACAAGACGTTTGGCTCATAGAGGATTAGATTTTTTTGGAAACATATGAAGAGTAAATCATTTTCTTTTCAAATGATTCAAAGAGACCAAGAGATGGGGGGAGAGGAGGGGTATGTAAAAAGAATTAACGTGTTGTGTACATGTGCCAACTCCTATCGTGAATGTAACCATTATATACTGCACATATGTTCTGATAAAAACAAAAAATTTAAAAAAAGAACTTTAAAATGATTCATGTGGAAAATCTTGTGGACTTGTGATTCAAAGGCAAAATATCAGTGACGAAAACTGTCTCAGTCACTTTCCTGTCACGGGGACACAATACCCAACAATCACAACTCAGAGGAGGAGTGGTTTATTTTAGTTCAGTTTCAGCCACGGCTGACTGGCTCCGAGGCAAAAACAGGATGTCAGAAGGGATGGCGGATAAAAAGATGCTCTGCTCATGGTGGCTCGGAAGCCAGGAGGGAAGGGAGGGGCCAGAGAGATGCACCCTTCTAGGGCTCCCCCCCCCCCCCCCGCGACCAGTCTCTAAGCAGGGCCCCTGCTAACAGCATGCTCAGCTGCTGAACTGGTTAGCTGCTAAATCCACTGATGGGTGCAGGGCCCATGACCCTCCCCATCACCTTCCAAAGCCCTGCACATGAGCGTTTAGGGTGACATCCCAGATCTAAACCACAACACTGTGCCTTATCATCTCATAAAATGAGGGGCACGTTTAGATCAGATGTAGAGAAAATGCTTTTCAAACCTCAGGGTATAGAATACCTTGCTTCTTTTTTGTTTTTTGATGGTGTAGAGTGTTTTAAGGGATTTTACATGCGTGAAACTTGGGCCTGGTGTGGTGGCGCAATGCTCTTGAAATCCTAGCTTTCAGGGGGCTGAGGCAGGAGAATCACAGGGAGTTTGAGGCCAGTCTGGGCTATGCATTGAGACCTTGCTTCAAAACAAAACCAAACAGGGCCAGGGATTTAGCTCAGTGGTTTCGCCACCTGCTGCGCAAGCGCAAGGACCTGAGTTCGATCCCTGGTACCAAAAAAAAAAAAAACCAAACAAACAAACAAACAAAAAAACCCAAAAACAAACAAAAGAGTTGGACTTGGGATTTTGGCAAATACAATACTTGGGCAGTAGGACTGGAAGAACAGCCACTTCCTGTAGCCTGTTCTCTCATAACAAATTAAGAAATGTAAGAGAGAAGCTGGCTTCAGTTTAAATCAAACTTTACGTAATAAACTCTTGTAATTTTATGCTGCTTCAGTGTCTTTACAGGGATTAGTCACCCTTGTAGGAGAAAGAGGTCTGTAGGCAGAGAGAAAAATAGGATAAGGGCCTCATTAGTTTTTCTAGCTAACCCTGACTAGAAGAAGTTAAAATTTTACTAGAGAAATTCCCCTCGGAACAATGTCAAGGAGGCGGGTAGAAAAAGAGAAAATGAGATAAAGAAAGACATCAAATGGCCTTGGGACTTGCACCAAAAGACCAGAGAAAGAGCTCACAGGCAGAGTACAGAGAGAGCCAAATGCATGAAGCCAAGTTGAGGCAGTCGTCCCTCCCCATCTCCAACAGAATCCAGGGGAAGCAGAGGCGGGGGGACCTACTAACGTTGGGGACAGCTCTTATTCAGTATGTACTCACACTTATGCACTAACACATATACATATACACATGTATTCACTCTAGGGTCACTATATCATCTGCTCTAGGGTATGTTACCACAACAGATATCCACACAGCCCCTCACTAGGCAGCCCCTCGCCAACCAGCTGCCCACCCTGGAGAGAAGTCCCCGCCAAGGACAAATAAACAAACACAGAAAGAAGTTACACCTAGACCACCAGGAGAAATGACATGGCCAAGTGGTCCCACTCTAATCCAAAGAGCCCAGGAAACCAATCAGGTCATGGCAAGTTCCATGTGGGGGACACAGACCAGGAGCAAAGGGTCCTTGACAGGTCCTGAATCTTTCTGGAGCCTCCTACCCTGATTCTTACCAGGGTAGCTATTTAGCTTCTCCTTTATCTTCCTTTCCAATAAAGTCTCTTCCTTTCTAAATTTTGCATCTTTAATTCCTTACTGGTACTGAGTTTAGAATCATGGCGAGCTGCTCACCTCAGTGGAACAGTGGCACTCATCCCCAGGCTGCGACACCCTGGACAGTTTCTAGCTCTTTGCCTCCTTGGTTCCCCTTAGATGTATTTTTCAATCGACCATCTCGTGGTGACCACCTTCCTATGGGACAGCCGGATACACTTACTTAATTTGCTCCAGTGACCCCACATGCCTCAGGGGCTGCAGAGACATGCCACACTGACCACCTCTTATAAAAACCCTTCTCCACAGAGCTTGCACCTGCTTGCTCCAAACCCACCCGTCAGGTCTGTCTATGGACACCTGTGTGGGTGATGCCCTGGAACCTCATAAGGCTTTGGCTCCCTTGTTCTCTCTCTCTCTCTCTCTCTCTCTCTCTCTCTCTGTCTCTCTCGTTCCCCAGGCCCTGGTTAGGTGTCATTACCCAGAGGACTCCTTCCTTCCTGTTAGCCCTATCAGGCCTGCTGCCCTCTTCTCTCTGGGATCTGCCAGTAACACAATGCTCTCATCCCGGTGTTTTGTTGTCCTGGCTCTGCTGTGCCTCACCTGACCAATACAGCCGAACCCGGCACTCCTGGGCAGAGACGAGAACCACCAGGGAGTGACAGTGCAAATGTTTCCCGGGAGAGGGACGCCTGGTCATGGGCAGCAAGCTGGTCACTGGGGTAAGGAAGAATTATGGGAAGGCACACAGTGAACACTACAGCCACCTCCCCTGCAGCCTGTTAAGACTCTAGAGCCTCTCCAGAGAGACTTCAGGACAAAAGGACATGCAAGTCAGGACATTTCCTTTCCCGAGATCTGTGAGGGGGGTCGTAAAATACTGTAAGAAGTAGAAACTGTTATGTCAAATGCTTGTGTATTAGAAAAGTAAAAACATATCCACTGTTTTGTTATAACAATTGATTTTTTTTTTTAACTCTTCCCAGTTATAGAAAGTTTGGTATAAATAAAAAACTCTAGCTTTTCCAGTGACATATTTGATTTATAGTAAATCAAATTTTAAAACTATATTTAGAATGGCTGTTACTTGTCAATAAATATGCTGTAAAGTTTATTATTATAAATAGTACACATACACACACACACATATATATAAACCATTATCACACTTCTAACTTCTAGATTGTTGGTGGCATGTCAGAATTACATCCATCAGGGCCAGGGATTTAGCTCAGTGGTTCTGCCGCCTGCCTTGAAAGCTCAAGGACCTGAGTTTGGTCCCCGGTACAAAAAAAAAAAAAGCCAATGAATTACATCCATCAGCTTTAAGTAAGATAAGACCATGGCTTTTTGGAGACAGAACTATTTAGAATCTAGCTGTGTGACTTTGGGTAGGCTATTTTTTTTTTGGTACCGGGGATCAAACTCGGGTCCTTGCGCTTGTGAGGCAGGCAGCGGAACCACTGAGCTAAATCCCCGGCCTTGGGTAGGCTATTTAACACTTCTAAGTCTTCTTGTCTGAGAAGATGGTGCTAACACAGCTTTTTCAAAAGAGAATTTGAGTGTTTGGTATATAGTAGACTTTCAATACCTGTCATCTATCTTGTTTATTTCATTTCAGTGTGTTCCCAAAGGGCATCATTTCTTGATGGGTTCAACATTTCTAGAAATCTTGTAACAAAACAATGTAATTTTTTTTGTTAAGCAAAAAGGAAATTAAAATTTTACCAAATGAACACAGGGCATATGTATTATTTCATTTTTAAAATATATGCCAGAACAGAATGACTGCAATTCAGTGTTTAAGAGAACAGCTACACAGCATCGACTCCACAATAATTTAACAACAGCCACATTTCAGGTAGAAATCCTGAGAGTAATAATTGTAGAAAATGTTGATTGTTGAAATCTACCCTTTTTTACAGAAAAAGGCTGTGATGGCTGTGATACTAACCTTTCCTGCATAATTCTGTTATAACTTTACACAAGTTTGTATATATTTGAAATAATTAAAAACCCTTGTTTTGCAAAAACACTCATAGAGCATGTTGGTATGAAAAATCTGAAGTCCTGGGCTAGTGTGAATTGGGGTGCTATTATTCTTTCGAGCCTTCTACAAAGTACTGACCAAGAAGTTGCAAATAAAGTCAAAGCTGGACTGAAGAGTTTGATTCCCACATTGGAAAAAATAAAAACATCAGAAAAGGAATAGAAACTCTACTTGAAAAACTGGCTGCATAGGTGGAAACAGTTAAGAATGGAATGGAAAAAAAAAAAAGAATGGAATGGAAGCAGGCCCGGGACTCAGCTCAGTGGTTTCCGCCACCTGCCTTGAAAGCGCAAGGACCTGAGTTTGATCCCCGGTACCAAAGAAAAGAAAGAATGGAATGGAATCATTTTTCCCATTCTCTGTACTCTTTTCCCACTGCAGAAAAGAAGGGTAAAGGTCCACCTCATTGGTAATTTGGGAGCTCTGTACATTTCTTCTTTTCATAAGAATCCATTTACACACACACACACACACACACACACATATATATATTATATATAAAACAAAACCTTTACAAACCTATTGAAGACACATCAGCAATGATGAAGTATCCTCCATCAGGAACTATGGGTTTCAGGCCAACACTTTCAAGTAAATGTACTATCCGATCTCTTTTTACTTCCAATTCTTTTGGCAAAGAATTAAAGTAACACTCTGGGTCATCCATGCGCTTGATGTCAATCCAGAGAGCTTGAGCCAAGGCTTCCTGTATATTAAGATTGAAAATGTGGAAAAGAAATGTGGTAATATCAGTCATTGCTTAGTTTATTGGTATAATAAATAAAGATCATTTCAGTTAAATTTTGGGCAAAAAGGTCGCTCAAGAAATTACAGCTGCATTCCTGTAAACCTATATCAAACCTCACAGATTAATGGAGGGACCAGTCACACATACACGATTAAATCTAATGTGATGAGCTGAAAATGAGTCATGAAAATCCAAATGCAAAAGAGGAATTATATAAAGATGACTTACTTGGTAACAAAAAAACACTAAGTTGGTTTTTACTGAGGTAAGCTGTAGAATGACTCGCTAAAGCTAACTGTAGAAAGTGACCAGAGGAATCATGAATAGTCAGCCTTCCCCACTGCCTTGGTGGATAGAATGAGAAGCAAATGCACCTCCCTCCCTCGCCCGAGGGCACAAATCCTTGCTATAATCGTTCATATCCCAGGAAGGTGGACGGAGAAATAGGAGGACATAGTGAAAAGGTGCAAAGGAAGCAGGCCATCCTGACATGGAATCTGCCAGTGCTTCATCTGGGATTCCCAGCCTGCAGAACTGTGAGAAATGTATTGCTCTTGTTCACAGGCCACATCATCTAGGATTCCTTAGCAGAGCCTGGGCAGACAAAAACATTAAGAATCAGGGAGGTGCCTGGGAAGGTGAAAGATCAGAATCAGGGCGAGCACAGAGAACAGAGATCTGCACAAGCATGGGGGCAGAAGCTGGGCAGGCAGTGGACACAGGGATGACCTGAAACAATGGTAGCAGGGCAAAGTAGGAGAGACCCAGGCAAATAACTGAGAACTTGGAATGAGAGACAGAGGGAAAGGGCAGACTGGTCAGACTTAAAGAAATTGATGAGAAGTGAGAGATGTCAAGAAGTGAAGGAAAAACTGATTTACTCAGTAAGTCCACACTGAGTACCCATGTTAAGCCTGCCCTTCAGAAGAAGAGCCAGAAATAAAACAATTAAAAGGCAGATGTGGGCTAGGGATTTAGCTCAGTGGCACTGTGCCTGCCTCACAAGCACAAGGTCCTGAGTTCGATCCCCGGTACCGCAAAAAAAAGAAACCTTCGTGGAGCTTATTGAAGGGGGCGGTGAAAGAGAGAAAGACAAATGCGAAGGGCCGGATATAATTTATTCTGCTGGAAGAAATGAGAGGAGTCCAGAGTGGCTGATGAGGAGCGAGAGACACAGCGTGTCAAGAGATGAGACAGAGGCCAAAGGGGCAACACAACACAGAAGACTTCATGGCAGAAAAATTCTGCAATAAACCAGAATTAATAGTTTCCCATTCTAGGAAACCAAGGGCCAATTTCCAAATGTGGTTGTCTGAGCTCAAAACAGGGCATCTTGCTGAAACAGAGAGTAAGATGGTTCAGAAAAGATCTTCTAGCTTTCCAGTTGTATTATTATTATTATTTTACCAACTTGTTCACTCACTATAGCAATGTTCAGCTTGCTGCTCAGAAGCGACAGTCTCAGTGAGGCTTCCGAAGGTTATCCTATGTAACATCACATATTCTCCCCTCGGCACTTTATATCCTTCTATTTTTCTTCTTTATATCTATTAACATCTGATATATTATATTTTAAAATATTATTTGTGTCCTGCAATGAGGTGCTAAGCTACCCAACCAAGTGCAGGCATTTCTGTATGCTGTATCTCCAACACTCAGTATTGTGAAATAAATAAATGAATTTATTTGGAGAGGACAAAATGAATTTAATATGTAATAAAATACATTAAAAAAATCAAGTGTCAGAACTAGCCTTTATCACGGTATTACTTTAGAGTAGAAATTTTTATCCTATTAGGTAGGTATTCTTTTTTTGTTTTTGTTTTTTGAGACAGGGTCTTGCTTTGTAGCCTGGGCTACATACCCTCTCAAGCCTCTTGAGTCATGCATCACCATGCCTAGCTCTAGGTAAGTATTCTTAATAGGAAACGAAAAATCAAGTTCAGTGTAGCCAATACACTTTACTCTTTTATCCTATTAACTGCCTTTTCAGTATTTTGGTTATTCACAGAATGGTGATAAATAGATCCTGCTTCTATAAATACATACATGAATAGAAACAATTTGTCTCTTCATATCAGTAATTATAGAATTTTCTTATTCCTTTTCTATTTTCTTTCCTTTTAAACAGCCCCTGTGGTAGAATATCTTAAAACTCATAACCTGTAAACACATTAGCTTGCATGGTAAAAGAAATTTGCAGATGTGATTTAAATTAAAGATCTTGATTTCCGGAGGTTATCCAGTGGGCCCAATATAATCACAAGGGTCCGTGTAAGCAAAAAAGGGAGACAGCTGACTTGGAGTCACCGAGAGGAGCTATATTTAGAAAGCAGAGGTTGGAATGATTTGACTATCAGCCAAGGGATGTTGGCAACCTCCAGCAGCTAGTAAAGGCAAGGAGCCTCTGGAAGCAGTGCAGGAAGCCTCAGGGACCAGTTCTGGACTTCCAACATGCAGCTCTGTAAGGTAAGTTTGTGTTGCTTTAAGGCATTAGATTTGTGGGAATCTGTTACAGAGCAGTAGGCAACCAATACAATCATAATATTTCAGTACTTGGCTAGATCATGGTTTATTTAACCAACTGTCTAGAGATGGGTAGCAGGCCATACTCAGTAGTCTGCAGCAAATGGCCACATACATAAGTAACTTCTTACACTGCACGTATTAAAACTAAACAAGACTTCTAGATACAGTGAACATGTGTCTGCTCCTAAATTCCCAGTTGTTTTAGAAGGCCTTTCTCAAGAAAGACATGAAGGGAGGAACTAAATTCAAATCCATGATATAAAAGTGACACTGCTGGGCTGGGGATTTAGCTCAGTGGTTTCGCTGCCTACTGCGCAAGCGCAAGGACCCATGTTTGATCCCCAGTACCAAAAAAAAAAAAAAAGTGACACCGTTACCAACACATCATGCTCCCATCTCAAGTCACTAGATCACCTACCTGTAAGGGAGTTGCACAAGTATAAATAGTGTTTTGTTGAACGGTCTGTAAATGTTTTATCAAATGGTGAGGACCAATGCTCCAGCCGAGCTGGGAAAGAAAGAGATAAAAACACATTTCAAAACTAAATGTAATAAAAAAACCTAAATGTAATAGTATAGCAGATCTGAGGGAGTAGTTAATATAATTGTTAAATATAGGCAGTTCAGAAATGCTCACTTTATGAAAGCGGTGCGATGTTAGTGTTAGAATCTCAATGCTATTCTCTTTCGTGGAGAAGTGGAGTCCACTAACTCAGCCTTTATCACTAAGCTCTGTCTCTGGAAGGTGAACAAAATCTGCAATCATTATAAGCCTTTCCTCCCTCCTAATTTTCTAGTTCTCCTATTCTGGAGGAAGAAGAGCCAGTAGCAAAGCTGGTTTCAGTTGCAGACAGAGGTGACTCTGAATGAAGGCGCACCGTAGAACTCTTCAGAAATTAAAACATCTAGACTTGGATTCCGCAGGCCACCTTCTGATGCTCCCTCACGTTAGCCATGTTCAGTAGAGGTGAGGCTGGAATAGGATTCAGTTTCCACTGAGCAGATTGTTACTGTAATAAACAGTACAGTGACCAAGTGCGTGGATTCTGAACCCACGCTACTATTCTGGCTTGAATTTAATAGCAGTGTACACTCAGGCAAAACACTCAATTTTTCTGTTTTAGTTTTTTTTTGGTACCGTGGATCGAACTTGGGACCTTGCACTTGCACGGCAGGCACCGGAACCACTGAGCTAAATCCCTGGCCCCTTCTGTTTTAGTTTTATCATCTGCAAACAGGGATAATAATTGTACCCACATGATGATATGGTAATGAGAATGAAAAGAGTTAGCAGTATATGTAAAACATTTCGAGAATGGCAAATAGTTAAGGGCCAAAATATTAGCTATTATTATTTTTCTTTTTATACTATTATGCAGTAATCTGAACCTTTGTAAAATAAAAGGACAATTAGTCAATCACTTATAAAATGAAAACATTAGCTGGGTGTGGTGATGCACACCTGTGATCCCAGCAGTTGGGAGGCTGAGGCAGAAGGACCATTGTGAGTTTGAGGCCAGCCTGGGCTACATAGTGAGCTCATGGTAGCATGAATTACATAGCAAGATCCTGTCTCAGAAAAACAAAACAAATCACCAGACATGGTGGTGCATGTTTGTAATCTCAGCACTTGAGAGGCTGGGGCAGGAGGATCACCATGAATTCAAGAACAGACTGGGCTACATAGTGAGACCCCATCTCAGAAAACCAAAACAAACAAACAAACAAAACAAACAAAAAGTAAACAAAATGAAAAAATTACCTAGCCTTTCTTCCTTTTTTGTTTTTTGAGACAGGGTCTTGCTATTCCAGGTTGGTTTTCAACTCACTATGTAGCCCAGGCTATTCTCAAACTTGTGGTGATCCTGCCTCAGCCAACCAAGTGCTGGGACTACAGGTGTGCACTACCACACCTGGCTAACTTTCCTTACTTTTCAAGAAATAATTAAATCTCAAAAAAGATGAAGCTCAACATGAAAGCTGTATAAGTCAATAATTAAAAGATGCAGATCTGTGTAAACTAAGTATGTATGCATTTATTTTTATCTATCTATCTATCTATCTTTTGCAACAGTCCCATTATCTAGTCTAGGTTGCCCTTGGACTTGTGCTGAGTATATACACATTTAAAACACAAAACATTCTACAAAAACACCATCCTATTTTTAAGCAAACTTTTTCTTCCTTTTTGATTACACCCAGGCCTTATCTGTGCTAAGCACAGGGTCTCTCCACTCCCTACCACTGAGCTACACCCAGCCACGACTGAATTCCTAGTCCTCTTACCTTCCAGCCAGTCACACTGAAAGTCTTCCCGGCACTTCCTATGGTTACTGTTCTCTCCCACATACCTGGGAAAGTGGCTGAAAAGGGGGGGAGGGTGTTAAGTAATTGTTTTCCAATCAATCTATATTAGTATAATCTAAAACCATAACAAATGTTATATGAATGCAATGAAAATAAATATATTAATCATAGTACATTTAGTATGAATATTTCAATAGTTAGCCAAAGCCTTCATACTGAGCTATATACCCAGCCTTTAAATTTTTTTTTTTTTTTTTAAATTTTGAGACAGGGTCTCACTAAGTTGCCCAGGCTGGGTTTGAAGTTGCGATTTTCCTGCCTTAGCCTCTCAGAGTGCTGCAATTATAGATTTGCTCCACCACACCTGGCTTCAATAGGTTTTTTTTAAAAAAACAATATAACTGTAAGCCCAAACTTAGCTGAAAATGCTGCAATGTTTTAAAACACTGCAATGTTTTACCAAAACAATATATGAATAGATTTAATAATTCTAAGTGAAAAAATTGTCTGCAAGGTCAGGACTGGCCGTGGTATCGGCAGGCAGCATTCCAGGCTGGTTCCAGTGGCAGGAGTCACGCTCGCTGTGCTTCCAGTGTTCAGCGCCGTGGTGTCGGTACAGACAATGATCCCGTGGCAGGGTTTTGGTTGTGGTCCTGATGACTGCGAAGCACCCCACCCCTTTATCCTGCCCCCTTTGTGAATCTGTTTCTCCAAGCTTCCTTCCTAGAGCAGTGGTTTTTAATATGTCAGCAACATCAGCAACACTTAGGAACATGTAAGAAAGGGAAGAGTTGGGCCTCATCCCAGACCTACTGAATCAGAACCTTGGTGGCAGGCCTACTAATTTACATGTGTGATGTTTTGCTACAACTTTATTGATATATATCCCAAATCTTGTAATTCACCCATTAAATGCAGTGGTTTTTAGTATACCCACAGAGTTTTGGGACCATTACTACAATTTTGGATCATCTTATCCACCCTAAAAGGAGCCCTGTACTGTAGGCTTCATCTCCTAACATCCCCTAGTAAGCTGTAGCTGCATGAAGCTGAAACACAGACACATTCTCTGAGGGACATGTGGTAGCCTTCCTGTGCTCAGGAGCACAAGCACACTTCAGCACTGGGCCTGGGGCTGTTCTAAATGGCCAAATCACCAGGAATCACAGCCTTACAGTTGGAGCTAAAGAAGTGGAGTGTTGGGCTGGGGACTTAGTTCGGCGGCATTGTGCCTGCCTTGCAAGCACAAAGTCCTGAAGTTGATCTCTGGTACCAAAACAAACAAACAAACGAAGTGGAGTGTGTTCACCCTCAACTGGGTGCATGTGTAGGGTCAGCCAGAGTTTCTGCTCCTCTTTCAGGTACCATAAGCACTGATTTTGAGGTCACAATCATATTTTAGGGACCTGATGCATTTGCAGATGTGGAATCTATAAGAAGTGAAAATCAACTGTACAAAGGTTGTCAAGTTGATTGGCATCTTTAAAAGTCATTCATTTCATTCATTCACTCATCCATCAAATACTTATTAGCAACAACCAAGGGCCAGGGACTAAATTAGATCTAGAAGAAATAGAGGTGTGTAAGAAATAGTTTCTGCCTCCAAAGAACTTAATTCTAGCATGGGGGATGAGATCCAAAGAACTGTAACCCAGTGTGATGAGCGCTGGAATAGCTATAGTCATGGACAGTTTGGAAGGATGGAAGAGGGGGTTGCGGATAGCTTCTTGTGGGCCTGAAGCTGGGATGATATGGAAGATCTTTTAGCCTTAGCCAGGCAGACAAGGGGAGGAAAGGTGTTTGCTGCTCAGGGAATGAAGGTGGCAAAGGTCTGGAGGTGTGAAACTGAAGAGTTTATGAATTCTGATGGGAGACCGGTATAATGAGAGAATGACTGACCTGTGAACCTGCTGAGGACACCACTGTAACACCGAGGCTGGATTCTTCAAGTATTTTAGCTGTTAGTTTCTTATCATGCAACCTCACAAGTTCTTCCACTTGTTTTTAGAAGGGGGACTTTTATACTGCTTTAAGAGTGGTAGCACACACAAAGGGAAAATATTCATTTCTGGGGGCCTGAACATCTGATTTTTTAAAGTAATTTGCTCATAAGCAAGTATCTTCTTACTGAAATGTAAGGCAGCTAGAGAAGTTTTCAAAATGATGCATAAGCAATTTCAATCTATTGTGAAATATCTGCCAATATTTTAACAGTAGGAAAACTATATAAATCATGTTATAATTATAGCCTTTGTGGAATATAACAAAATCCAAAAAGATAAATGAGGAAAATATTTAGAAGGTCTGTTTGAAGAAGGATTATTCTAATATTTGATAAAACTATATCCTCTGAGATATTCTTTTCTTTCCAAAGTATTCTGGAAGAAAACTATGACACATGCTCCACTCTTATTTTACTAGAGGTTAAGTCTAACCTATGTATAATGCAGAGGATTACTTCCTTTAATATAATAATGTACAAGTATATCTCAAATCAGGAAAGCCTATGAATAAGAACACTATGTAGAAAAATTCTTTGAAATAAGAACTATCCAGAGAAATTAATAGAACTCTTACATGCTTTTACTATACATTATATATAAGGGAAACCAAAACTACTACTTTAATATCAGACATAAATTTCATTCACAAAATATCAAATCTAGTCATAGTATTTAGAAGCAGAGCTATATTATCGATGACTATTTTAGCCATATAAAAAGTGGATTTCTTCCTCCCCTTTTAAGACAGTAAGCTGATCAGCTGAATAGCTTATGAAGGATTTTTAATTAATTTTGCAAATATCAGTGTCTTTATATAAGTTGAGGCAAGGGAAGAAGTTTTCTGATGTTGACTGAAATGTCACTTTCCCAGTCAGGAAATATCATTTGAATCAAGAATCTGATCCAAAAAGAGCAAATTTTACCATTTTATAAAAAAAGAACCTTAAGTAACGTTAAAATATCTAGAAGCTCATGTTCCCTCCACCTCAAGAGATTTGGGGACATGGAAGTACATGTAGATATACAGGCAAAAGAGATGAACACAGTTTGGCAGATGAATGTGGTAATTCAAAGACAAAACAAAACAAAACAAACAAACATAAAATCTTCAAACCAAAAAACTCTAAAACTTTCCAGGTCTGATGATTTTGGAAAAGTAAATTATAGTTTAAGTTCAGATTGAAGTTATAGCTGAAAGGAAACTAGTCTTTGTACTTCCATCATTGACAAATAATGCTTAATTTAGCCAAAGTGGCTCTGTTATTCGTAGATGATTTAGACTTTAACGGAAGTCAGATAAAGATTAGAGAAGCAACAAAGAAGCTGTATCAGGGAAAACTGCCTCCATAGCAACACGCAGATGCTGCTCATGTCATGATGTGTCGCTAAAGGGCCTCAGTGTGTTATGCAGGAAACAACTGCAGCACTTTGCAAACTGATGTGAGAGCTATTTTGCATGTTTCATGAACAGATTATGACAGTTAATAGACTTCCTATGTTTCAGTAATGAAATTGTGCTTTCTAAGTAATTAGTAAACTTATTTTGTTCTTTTTAAACTACATAGGCAGTTACAAGTGAAAAATAAAATCTCAGTTTAAAATATGTATCCTGCATATCTTTAGCAAATAGTGCTACTACACTTTACCGTGGTGAGCTTGTAATTCTTAAGTCTAAATGATACATTTCAAGATCATTTAAAGTGATCAGGAATATTATTACACTGAGTTAACTGCCAAACAATTCATTGTTCATGTTGGACTGACTTTTTGAGTGGGGAATAGTCCAAATGATCTGAGACCCAGGTCATCAACAAAATGGGCAATGATGGACTCTGATGTAATGTGGACACATAATATTCTCCTTGAGAAAATTTATTCTTTACTATGGTCCACCTTCCACCAAGATTTTGATGACTGCCAAAAAAATATGCCTTTGTACTCTGATCCTGATCCTTAGGCCTAATAAGTCTACTTACCTCCAGGTATCACCTCCTCTATGGCTCAGTGACACTCAAACTTAAGAAGAGTTTACACCATGAGAAGTAGGAGTGGCCTTGGCTGAACTCCTGCCCGCAGACCTGCTCCTCCTTTCCCTATTGCCCCTGGGTAAGAGTTTTATCACTGCCCAGCAATCCAGGCCACAGATCCCACAATCAGAATTACTTGTCTCCTTCCCACCCACAGATGCTGTGCTAGATGCCCTACAGCTCCTAATTCTAAAGCACTCCACATATCAGTTCCCCTGCCAGGGCACATGATCTGCTAAAGATGAGGATCTGCACCTGGCTCTTCATAAAAAAAAAAAAAAAAAAAAAAAAAAATTCAATCATGGAGACAACTCTCCTGCCTTGTCTCTTCTTTGCAGTAGTTCCCAAAGTGTAGCACTGGCACTCCAGTGACCAAATTCACATACAGAATTTAAAAAAAAATCAATTCTGAGTTTTTTTCCACACAATTTTCTGAAGCTTCCGGCAATTGCTGCCACTTATCTGCCAGTGAATGCTATGCACTGTGAAACAAATGAGTCATGACTAAATGAATATTAATGGAAATCAGAAAAATTCAAATGTGTTTCTTTCGATTGCTCTTTGTTACAGACAAGTATGAATAGAATTATGATTTTTACACTGATTTTGAACTGTCAGATATCTCAGGAAAAACTGCTTCTAATTTTGGGATAGAACTGCTTCTAGTTTCATTACGTCACTATTTCATGATGGAGAATATTGTGGATTCAAGATGCTCTATTCAGCAAGTTTCAGAACCACTGACCACTGCAACAAAGTATATATCCTTTGTTCTCATATACAAAGTCCTTCAGAACCCCCCTGCTTTCTCATCCTCATTGGTATCGGTTACTCCAACACACTCTTCCAAAGCAAACCACTTATCTTTCTTAGGTAAGTGCCTCCATACCTAAGTACTTGCTAGCTTATTTGATAGGAATGTAGTTTGCATTTCTCTGCCTATCATTCCATCTTTTGCCTACTGCTTTTCTGATGCCCTCAACCAGTTGCTTTCTCCTCCTATTTCTACAGGCATTTGTAATGTACTACAAGAACAATTATGGTTCATGCAGCAAGTATATGTATACATGCACTAATTTTTAATTTTATCTCCTCTGCCACAATTCTTTACCATCCTTCCCTGTCTATTTCATATTTCTGACTCATTTATTCAACAACTGGTTTTCTGACCCTATTCTGGAAAATGAGGATTCGGAGGAGACCAGAAAAAAATAATCTCTACTTTTTGTAGTTTAAAAGTGAAATGCATAGATTCTAATATTTACTATAAAGGGGAAAACAAAACAAACAGAAAAAAAGACCAAGCAAATAGTGCCTGGAGGAAGAGGTGTAACTATTTTAAAGTGGTGGTCATGAAAAATGACACAGGAACAAGGCCTAAAGGAGGTGAGGGACCAGGCCAGGTGAGTACTTGGGGAAAAAGTGTTTCTAGACAAAGGAACGACAGGTGCAAAGGCTCAAAGTTTCCAGCCCAGATGATAATTCTGCTAGTCAATACAAGTTCAGGCCACCCCAGAAGATGCTGGCATTTGTCCGATGGCCCACTAGTAATGACAAAATCCCAGACAAGGACTGAGTGGCAGTATCTGTTCAGCACTGTCTAGTCCAGAACCTCTTCGGGAACAATTACACTATCTGTATTTCATGTACCAAGAAATACCAGGATTCTTACTAAGAGTCCAAAGAGACAGGCAAATGTAGAATTCCCCTGGTTTCACAGTTTCAGAGTGTGAGCTGAAATCTCTCTCCCTAAGTTTGTAATATTTGTCTTTCAAGCTGTTCATCAATCCCAATGCAAGCATCATTCATTCAAATATTATTAAGTGCTCACGCACATACCGATTATAAAGACTATTTTAAAGCTAGTCTGGGATCATTTCTAATCAGTTGTTCCACATGTGCCCAAACACACTTAGATTTGTGACTCAGTACCTATTTTTAAATGCTTATTTCCGGTGTATACAAGCCACTCATAAACCTCGTCACTGATACAGAGTGTGTCATATTTGATGCAAAGGTGAGCAATGAGTTGGAGCTCTTCTTTCGTATACACCTACACAGATGGAAGGAAAGAACACAGCCAGTTACTATTCAACATGTGAGCAGACAACAGGCCAAAACCTGCATAAAGAGACTCGCTTACCTTGCCAAGGGGGTTGTGTGGTGTATTTAGTATGATGGCTTTGGTTTTAGAATTAAATTTGCTTTCGAGTTCCTGAGGATCTAACGTCCAGTCAGAACTTGACCATTTTTTTCCACAAACAGCTTTCTAAGCATGAAGAATGAAGATGGGATTTAAAGAAATTAATTCGTGTTTGTTAGCTTACAAATAAATGACAAGAATAAAATAAAGGCATGGCAGGGGTCACTGAATAAATGACTAACAAAGTACTTGAACAGAAATGACTAGGCCTTGAGTGCCGTAATGCCAATTGCTCTACTCACACTGTTAAAGGGAAAATGAACCCTGTCCCCAGGGACAGCTGTTAAAGTGCCTGTCTTCCCTCCCAGGACCCTGCTCTAAGTATGGTTAGAAGAAGGCGAATAGAAGATTCTGTGATTCACCTTAGTATGTTAATTATTTTGAAAAGATTTAGAACCTTTATTGGTGACAAAGCAATTTGTATTTTTAAAGATTCTTACAGTGTATGAATTGACTGACAAACTTACAGATCTTAGGGGGATAAAAACAGGTGTTGCTCCGGCCATTCTCATCATGGGCTCATAGCAGTCGTAAAAAGGCACTATTATTATAACCTAAAATAAAAGCAATTAAGGACACAGCACATAAATCATTAATTTATTTCACAAATATTGTGTACTTCCTATGTGCAAGGATGTCTCTAAGTTGAGGTGCCACGGTGAGAAAGCAGCCCTCTTTTTCATGTATGAATGTAAGAGACCCTCGAATCAAACTTGTCCAGAGTTTAAGTTGGGAATTCCTGGGCTTTTTAGAGATCTATGGATGAGCTTGCAGTGGGTGTGCTTGAAGTGATAAAATTTTACCTGTGCATAGGTAGATGTATTTGGGGAGAGGGGCTATACCTTTCATTATATTTTCAAAGGGATGTTTAACCAGAATCATAATTTATTTTTATTTCAAGTTAGAAGACATAATGTACAATACATGGTATATTAGACAGTGACAGGAGCGGCACTGTATGGAAAGAGAATGTTGCAGTGCTCTGACACAGAGCACTAATTTACAAGCATTATCCTGAGAGTAAAGATGTTTCTCCTCAAAACACCTCATAGCGAAGAGTGGATGTAGGAAGACAGGTTGGAATGCCTTTGTTCTTGCCTAATACCCATGACTGCCTTCCACCTGCCCATCATCTGGAGCCTGTCGTTTCCCCTAGTGTTCTGGGTATACTCCATGTCCCTCTGGCCCTGCACGCTCTCTTCCAGCACCTGCTGGCAGGCCTTCAGGTGAGGACCTGTCCAACTGGCCCAGCCACTACCACTCCCAACCCACCAACCTCATCTAGTACCCCTGATTTTGCTTTTTTATAGGGGGAGTTTGAACACATAATTTACAGCCATCATATACATTCAATTTTTCTTTCTACTTTTTAAAAACCTAATAACCCATGACATTTCCAGGCTATTATATTTTCATATTTATTACTTTAGAGGCTGGAGATTTAGCTCAGTGGCACTGTGCCTGCCTTGGAAGCACAAGGTCCGAGTTCGATCCCCGGTACCAAAATAAAAAATCACCCCCATATTTATTACTTTATTGGCCAGGAGAGTCTACTGAATTTTAGAATACTTTTCTTATAGTTCACTTATATAAATAACAGTGTTGTGTTTGTGTGTGAGCATGTAGTTCTCTATTTTTAAAATAACTTGTTAAATAAATTCACAAGATTGCTATCTCTAAATTATAGGATATAAACATAGGGTCTCACTATGAAGTTCAGGCTGGCCTTGAACTCACTATATAGCCCAGGCTGGCCTTGAACTTGGAGGCAATCCTCCTGCCTCAGCCTCCCAAGTGCTAGGATTACAGGTATGTGCCACTGTTGATTCAGTTTATTAGTAAACATTTGCTGCTTTAAATGTCACTTGCTACTGTTTGTGCTTCTTACATGTAAAATACCTGGTCAGTGTCTTTCTCCTGGGAGGCATTCATCCTAAAAGTCCCTTTGTACTAAGCGTTCCACTCAGACTGAGGCCGAAGTACAATATTTCAAGTTTAGAGTCAGGAACGTGGAGGATAAAACAATGAACCAGAAATGGGTCCTCACCTCAAGCAGACAGGAAGGTCTTCATCTGTGAGGTTCTTAGGGACTAAGAGGACCTGCCTGTTTAACTTGCTGGAGACACAGAGCCCAGATAAAGTAAGAGCTCAGTACAGGAAAATAACCTGGAAAAACAGTAGAAAGAACCCAGCTGATGCCCTTCACCTTAAACCCTTTACTTTTGTTGTGGGAATAATTCCCCTCTTTTTTTTGAAGAGTGCTTTTTGAACACTTATTATTTAGGTGCTGGCAGGATAGCACTAAACAAGTTCTCAGCCAGGTGTGATGGTGCTCACCTGTAATCCCAACAGTCTGAGAGGCTGCAGCAGGATGATTGCAAGTTCAAGCTCAACAACTTAGTGAGACCCTGTTTCCAAATTTAAAAAGAGCCAGGGATATAGTTCAGTGCGAAGGTCCTGGGTTCAATTTCCAGTACCACCAAAGCAAAAAACTCCCCAAAACAAAAAAGCCAAAATTCTCCTGGATCTTATATCTTAAAGATTTATGGTGAATGAGAAAACAAGTCAGTAAAGCAGATTTCAGATAGTAATGTGCTATGAAGAAAATAAAACAGGACGGTGTAAAAAAAAAAATGACATGCAAGCAGTTTCAAAATGTTAAAGTGCTCAGGGAAGAAAGACTAGAGAAAAGAAGGCAAGAGCTGAACCTTGGGACATTTCAACAGAGCACAGTGGAGAAGAAGCACAAGATTAACAGGAAAAGGGCTGGAGATTTAGCTCAGTGGTTCTGGCGCCTGTCTCCAAGCGCAAGGTGCCAAGTTCAATCCCCAGTACCGAAAAAAAAAAAAGATTAACAGGAAAATATGAGGAGCTTTCAACTATGTTACAGGATTAAAAAAGATTATGTATATGAAAGTGCAACTGCAGTCCTTCAGATGTTTCCTGAAAAAAGCTTTTTGTCTGGTACAGTGGAAGGAATTACAGATGCAAAGGAGTAACAACGTAAAGTAGGTGGTGGTAGCTTTTATAAGAATAACATGATAAAGAATTATAAGAGTTCAAAGTAAGTTAACAGTATAGATCAAGATAAATAGTCTCACTTCACACACAGCTTAACCAATGCCTCTTTGCAAATCTATCTTCTCTATGAGATAAGGAACCCCTTCCACATAGAAACTATTTTTTAAAAACCTTCTCTCTCACAGTGCCTTGTATACCGGAGATCCTTAGTAAATTCTGGGTAAATGAAAGAGACCAGGAAATATTAAAGCAGGGGTATTAGAAGGGGTAGATGTGTGAGATGAGTGCCAGTGTTGGTCCTGCATCACAGTGCTGTGTGGCAGGAATGGCTTGGCCTTTCAGTTACATCTGCACTGCTAACATGATACTGGCACGAAAAGATGCCAGAAGACCCAGTACTTGCTGCCTGAGTTCAGATTAAAGGTTACTTTAGCAATGAAGACAAAGGACCTTGCTAGCCTACTTCCACCTACTCTTATCTAAGTAGGCTATAAAAATAAGAACAAACTAATGCAATAAAATGGTTGACACTAATAGGTAGTATAATGATAAATGAAAGAAGCCAGATTCAAAAGTATATACTGTATGATTCTATTTATGTCAAATAACAGAGCAGTAAGAACAAAGCTGTGGTGATAGGAGACAGAAGAGTGGATACCTCAGGGTGAACACAGGCTAAGACGGGAAGCAAAAGGAGCCTCTCTGGATGCCGAAAATGTACAATATCTTTATCCGGGTTATAGTTACATGGGATTTTACCCAGCTGTCCATTTAGGATTTGTTAACTTTATAGAATATGCATCAGAATCCTAAGATACTTTGAAATAAAAAAAAAATACAAAAGAAGATTCAAAGGCAGCATGAATGATAATGATTAACATAGATAATAATAATGTTAATGTACTTACTTCATCTCCTTCATCAATTAATCCTTGAATGGCATTAAAAAGAGATCCATATGCTCCTACTGTCACAAGGATTTCTTTATTTGGGTCAATTTGGTTTTGATAAAATTTTTCATATAGGCAGGACAGAGCTTTGACAAGTGATGGATGCCCCTGTTGGATTAAAAAATAAGAAATAAGCCCCTTGGATCTGATTATGGAACTGGTTTCTTGCAGGTAATATGGATCTAAAATTTAATAATTTTAAAAATTTGTATTTGATATTTGTAATTATTCAAAGAAAAAGTTTTTTTTTTTTTACCAAGAGAGATTATGTAAAGGTGCAAATTTCCAATGATGAATGCCATTATACTGTATACCTAAAATGTACCAATAAAATTAATTTTTAAAAAGAACTTTTTTGAGATGTCTTCTTTATATTTTTTCCAGGCTGCTCTCAAAACTCGATCTTCCTGCCTCACCCTCTAGATTACAGGTGTGTGTTACCATATCCAGCAGAAAATTTGTATTTTTAAGTGGAAATCAATCAAAAAATGCTTTTCCTAACTCCCTATATGAAGTTATGAAGACTTGCTAATGATGAAAACTTACTTCAAAACAAAGGGTCTGAGAATACATAATTATAAAATATTTGATTTGAATAGAAATGAACTTCTAGCATATTTTTATTTTTAAATTTTTTTTATATCTAGTATATTTTTAACAGTAAGTTTGTTCCTCAGCTAAAATAAGTAAAAAAAAAAAATGTGCTAACTATAGTGTCCTGAATCTGATCCTCCCAATTGCTGTAGAGGTCACGCCAATCAACAGACTAAGAAAGAGGGAAACAAATTCGCCAAAGATGCGCTACTGTTGATGCGACAGCAACGACAGGAGGAAGCGGAACATTACTCACACTGACGGTTAAGACAGCAGTAGTTACAGAGGAGAGACAGCTACTTTCAAGAGAGAAAGGACAGGGCCGGGGATTTAGCTCAGTGGTTTTGCCGTCTGCTGCGCAAGGGCAAGGACCCAAGTCCGATCCCTGGTACCAAAAAAAAAAAAAAGAGAGAGAGAAAGGATTACATAAATGTGCAAAATCAGAGTGGGGATTCTCTTATGCAAAATATTCTCTTTGGGCTGCGGATATAACTCAGTGGCAGAGTGCTTGCCCAGCATGTGCAAGGCTGTGGTTCAATCTTCCACAATAAATAAAGCTTTCTCCTTTTAATCAGTATGTAATAATTGGACATACTTGTGGGATAGAAAGTGATATCTCAATACCTGTATACAATGTGTACTGAAAAAATCAGGGTAATTCTCATTTCCATCTCATTATCCTTTCTTTTGAGGTTTCAAGTTCCTTCTTCCAGTTCTTCATAAAATATGCGAGTTTATTGTGAACTGTACTCCCCATGCTGTGCTGCACAACACTCACATTTATTCCTCCTATTTGTACTTTGGTATGTGCCTCCCTTCACCCTCCCCTTCCTTGCCCTTTAATAGTTACTATTATGCTTTCTTCTACTTTGAGATCAACTTTTTTAGCATCCACATGGGGCAGAACAAATACTATTTGTCTTTCTATGTCTGTCTTACTTTACTTAATATAATGTTCATCAGTTCCGTCCAATTTGGTGAAAGTGTCAAGATTTCAGCTGAGCATGGTGGCACGTGCCTTTAACTCCAACTACCAGGGAGGCTGAGGCAGGAGCACCTCAAGTTCAAGGCCAGGCAGAGCAACTTAGCAAGGCCTTGTTTCAAAATAAAAATAAAAAGTGCTGGGGATGTAGCCCAGCACTCCTTGGATTCAATATCCAATACTGCAAAATAAGAACGACAAACCAAACCAAACCAAGCCAAGCCAAACAAAATAAAACAAAACACACACAAAAACAGCCAAACAAACAAATAACCAAAAGGAAAACAAGACAAACAAAAACAAAACCTACAAAATTTTATTCTTTCTTTATGGCTGAATAATATTCTACTTGAGAAATATAACACATTTTCCTTACCCATTCATCTGTTGATGGATGTCTTGACTATGGTGAAGAGGGTTGCAGTAAACATAGGTGTGCTTGTACCTCGTTGATATGCTGATTTAATTTCCTTTAGATATATATCCAGGAGTGAGATAGTTGGATCATGTTAGGTCTAATTTTAATTTTATTATTTTATTTTATTTCTCACTATGTAGTTCAGGCTGGCCTTGAACTCACTATGTAGCCAGGCTGGCCTTGAACTCATGTAGTCCTTCTGTGTCAGTCTCCTCAGTGCTGGGGTTCCAGGTGTACATTACACTAGGTTCATTTTTATTTCATTTTTTGAGACCCCTACTGTTTTTCTAAGTGCTGCACTAATTTACATTACCATTAACAGCATCTAAGAGTTATTTTTTTCTCCTCATCCTTGCCAGCATTTGTTATTTTTGCTTTTCTGGTAATAGCCATTATGACTGTGGTGAGGTGATTTCTCATTATGGTTTTGTTTGCCATTTTTCTGATGACACTGAGCATTTTGCCATATATGTACACGTACTTATTGACCATTTCTTTTTCTTAGAAATGTCTGTTGAGCCAGGAGTGGTGGCACAGGCCTGGAATCCCCACATTTGGGAGGCTGGGAGATAGGAGGATTGATTGCCGTGAGTTCAAGGCCAGCCTGGACTACATAGTGAGACCTTCTCTCAAAAAAAGAAAAAGAAATGTCTATTCAGACTATTTTTAAATTGGATTGTATTCTTAGTTGGTTACTTTCTCTCAGTAATGTTTTGTGGTTTCAGTGTACCTACCTTGAACATACATATTTTAAAAACTTAGTCCTAAATATTTAGATGCTCTTATAAATGGTATTTTAAAAATTTTACTTTCCGACTATTCATTTTCAGTACATGGAAATATAATTGGTTTTTGTATATAGGTCTTGTATCCTGCACAATTCATTGAGTAGTTATACTAATTTTGTAGAATCCTTAAGATATTTTATGTACTATACATGATGTTTTCAGCATATAGGTTTCAGTTTTCTTCATTCTATTCACACATCTTTCTTTCTTTAGGACTTCTAGACAATTCTGAATAACAATGGTGAGCTTCTTTTGTCCCCCCTCTTTTTTTTTTACATTATGTGGTCTGTAGATATTATCTGTAGGTTTCTCACAGATTTGCTTTAACTGATTGGCAAAGTTCCATTCTACAGTATTCCTGAGTAGTTGAAGGTTTTTATTATAAAGGAGAGATGAGGGAGGGAGGAAAAGGTGTTGAAAATGGAATTAAGATGCATTATATACATGGACCAACTTCCCACAAGGAATGTAATCATGATGTACTGCAAACATGTACTAATAAAAAAAAAGGAGGGATGAATTTTGTCAAGTGTACTTTTTGTGTATGCTAAGGAGATCATGTAGTTTTTCTTTTTCATTACATTAATATGCTGAATTGCAATCATTGATTTTTGGATATTAAACCTGCATCCCTGTGGTAAATGATACTTGATCAGTATGTGTTACTTTTTACATCATACTCACAAATATACATACATATATACATGCATATACATTTCTGAATTTGATTTGCTAAAGTTTTAGAATTTTCATTCTTATATTCATGAAGGAGATTGGACTGCATTATCTTTTTCTTATCTTATTTTGTATCAGAGTAATGCTGGCCTCATAAAATGCATTGGCAAGTTTTTCATCCTGCTGTATTTTCTGAATGAATTTGTGTAGGATTGGTATTACTTATTCTTTAAATGCTTAACAGAAAATTATTTATCATGTTGTTATTACTGTTTTACTGTCTGTATGATCTGTAATTAATTTTTTTCCATTTCTCATGTTGTACTTTTTTTCATTTTCTACTGATAAATCTAGCTAAAGTTTTACTTATTGATTTCAATGAACCAGATTCTGGTTCTATTTTCTCTACTGTTTGTTCACTTTTGGATTTTTATCATGGAGTTGAACATGGCTGGGAGGGAAGTAGGTGGAGTAGGTCCGAGATGGGGGTCTGGATATGAACCTTGTTTTTGGTGGTGCTGGGGTCCAAACCTAGGACCTCACACATTCTAGACATGTGTGCTACCATTGAGCTACCCTCCCAGCCCTGAGATGGGGGTCTAGAGGGTAGATGAAGGAGTGAGATTCCATGGGAAGCAGGGATTCCCACCCTGTTAAGCCCTGGGATATGGTGAGTCTCACTGCTTTTTCCAATTCTCTCATTCCCAATGTTAAGGCTGCCTATGGATTTTTGCACTTAGACTAGCAAGGACAAAAAATAAGACTCCCTCCTTCCTTCTTTCCATTTCCCAAGCTATCACGAAAGGAAAGACAAACACTGAGCCATATGACAAATGTATGGCTTTTAGGCATAACAGATACAATGCTGCAGTTAAAAAGTATATCTCCTTCTAAGAAATGAGGCATCTCATCACAGAAGGATGAAGAAGGGGGCTGAGGTGGGTGAGAGAAGAAAAAAGTAACTTGTTGGAAAGCATATGAAGAGGTCAGTGCTGAGGCTGCCTGATCATTAATGAGATAGAAAAGACATCTTTCAAGAGAGTATTTCTCCTTCCTTGCTGCCCTAAGATCACACTTTGAACAATAGTAAAGTAAGAATGAAAACAGATCTATGGAGGGGTTGAAGGTTGGGGAAGACTCGTCCTAGAGACAGGGCAGGGGGGATAGTTCTGTAGTCATCAGGCTGGGACTCTTGATTCCATGTAAGGAATAGTAACATGCATGCACACAACACAACATAAACTCTAAGCTCATGACCCTTATGTTCTGGATACACTTACAAAGCCCCGCGTGTACTGATTCAGGTTATCAACTAATGCAATCTTTGATAATTCTTCTTTTACATATGTTGGAGGCGATATATCTGGAAGGCCTTGGCCAAGATTCACCACAGAGGGATCTGCAGCCAACTTGGTAAATTCAACCCTAATATTAAGAAAAACAGAGACAAAAACAAAAAAACTCAAAAAGCTGGTATTGATAAGTACTACACTTACAAAGTTTGGTGTTTATGTCACACGGTCTTACCACAAAATTTAAAAAATAGAAACTTAGTTTGGTTTTAGATTAAAAGAGTTCCCAATAAAAAGTCATACTATCCACGCCTGTGATCCCAGCACTCTGGGAGGCTGAGGCAGGAGGACTGTGAGTTCAAGCCCAGCATGGGCAACTAGGCAAGACCCTGTCTAAAAATAAAAAATGATAAAGGGATGAATATAGCTTAGTGCAAAGGCACTGGGTTCGATCCCCATTCTGAAGAAAAAGAATCACCATCAATAAAATAAATTTATCTAATAGAATGATGGCTGAATTAATGAACCTAATGATCCTTTACACACCTCAATTTCATGATACCCATATTTAACCACATGCCCCACTTAACCATTTCCTATCTGCTGCTATGTTCTCTTGTCAACTGTTAGAGAGCAAAACTAATGAGAAAAGTCCATGGATTATGAGGTAAGTTCCAAACCAAACTTGTTTTTTTCTCTGCTACATATCCAGCTGGAGCACAGGGCATGGCATACTTGGGAATTGAATAAATCAGTATCTGGGCAGCTGTCTTCCTTTCGTTAGCATTTAATGGAGGAATTAGATAAATGGCTTTAGTTTTAGACTATGAATGAGGCTACAAATTCCCAACTAAGGAAACAAAAATATATAGGAAAATTTCACCATGTTATTGTTTTAAGATACTCACCAGACATTGCTGTCAAGTCCTTCGATGCGTTTTGCATTTTTTAATTTCGAAGACATTTTCTGAAAAATGTAAATATTGAAAGAGTTTTAGAAATTCTTTAATCAAAATCTGAAAGATCAGTAAGTCATGGGTCATTCTTCCTTTCCCTATCGACACCATAATGATAGGAGCACCACGGAAGTAAGTCCTAGAGTCCAGCACAGAAACCTGAGGAAGAGTCCACCTCCCAGCAGCTGTTCTAAGGAATGATTTTTGCTCATGTTCTCACCAAAGGACAAAAATGTCTTAGCATAAAGAGGTAATCATTTCAGAGGCTTGAAATGTACTAAAGAGAACAGGTATAATACTTTTAAAAAGTCAGTTTAAAAAATATCTTGAGCTCTGCTCTGAAGAAAGTTAAGATATACTGAGAGTTTCACATGAAAGTTCCTTTCATGGCATACAGGAATCACTCAACAAATGGTTTTAATTTTCATTTTATTTAAAATTTTGGTTTTTTGAGACAGGGTCTTGGTATCAAGTTCAGGCTGGCCTTGAACTCACTATATAGACTGGCCTTGAGCTTTCGGGCAATCCTTCTGTCTCAGCCTCCCGAGTGCTGGCATTACAGGCGTGTACCACCATGCCTGGCAACAAATGGTTTAAAAATGACTGACTAAGGGGTTCCAAGTAATAGTAGCTAATATAATAGCATAGTAATTACATACCAGACACTGTTCTCTGTGCTTCACATAATTTACTCAGTTAATCTCCTTCTTGTCAACCCTATACTGTAGCTCTGCTATGAGCCACTTTGACACATTAACAAAGTGAGACACAGGGAGGACGCAGACCACACAACTTTTCATATCTTCCCAAGTTCTTAAAAGTGGTAACATTAAAATCCAAACAGTTTTATCCAGGATTTGAATCCTCGGACTGACCATAGAACCCATGCACGTAACTACTGTTATCTGCTCTCTTACAAAACAAGATCTTCTAAAAACCTGACCAGAAGATTGCCTCTTAAAAGTAGAGTAGGAATTTAGGTCAGGTCTACTCACACCAAGCAAGCTAAGACTGTGGTAGAAAAATATTAGAAGTTATAATTATCATACAGCATACAACTTTTTTTTTTTTTTTTTTGGTACCAGGGATCGAACTCGGGACCTTGTGCTTGTGAGACAGGCAGCGGAACCACTGAGCTAAATCCCCGGCCCCAGCATACAACCTTTAATTCTTCAGATTCTAAAATTAAGAATGTACTCTCTTTCAGAAGTATTGAATTAGTTTTGAGTTCATTACTAACAAGCTGGTGAAAATAAGAAAATGATGAACAGCATTTTTACAAGGAATTTTATAATAGAATATTAAAGCAACTTTAATGCAATCTGGGAGGAATATAATGCTAATAGTTATTAAATAGACTACTGTTGTCATTCTAGTCCCAATACTAGGACAAAAAATTGCCTTTTCAGTTTCCTATTTTTAATCTTCAAAATGCCAGTGAAGTGAATCACACACATACTCTCTAGGGGTTCATCACGATTAAGTCCCTCCTGAATACAATACTATCCAGAGACAGTCAAAAACTACAGAGTTCCAGCAAGACAGAGAGAAAAAGATATTTTAACAAAGGCTCTTTACTATCTCTAAAACAATACTTAGCAGTTAATGATTCAGTGTGGATTGCAAACGCAAAGTATGGACTCATTAAAAAAAAAGCCAGATAATCAGACAAGTACAGTTTCACTTAACATTCAGATGGATAAGGTCAAAACGCAGTTTCAGATTTACTTTCTGTAAAGTTTGTCTCCAGACCAGCCTCTTGTTTCTGCTGCCCCTGCCTCCCCGTTCATCCCAATTCCTTGTCTCAACCCCTCGACTTTTTCAAATAGTCTTTCTGGCCTCTCACTTCTGTGTGATTTGTCCTCTGCCCAAATAGCCTATCTCTGCACATTTCTCAACCTCCTTTTCGTCATTGCTTCTGTAAGGGGCATCTTCACACGTTTTTTCCCCGAATTATCAAGTTTTGTAAGGTTTTAGCTTCAAATAATAGGTTTGAGCTTCAAATGGTCATAAAATATTGTAAGGGCTAATATTTATTTCCCCTGCTAAGCACTCATTTTCTCTTCCTTGGGGGTGATAATGCATCTGTTGAGATTTTTTGTTGTTGTTGTTTTGAGACAGGGTCTCGCTGTGTAGTCCAAGCTGGCCTTGAACTTTCGGTGATCCTCCTGCCTCAGCCTCCCGAGTGCTGGGATCACAGGTGTGTGTTACCACACCAGGCTGAGAATGTGTATTTTCTATTCAACCATCACCCTGGCCCTGCACTTGGCTAAAGCTGGTTTCACTTGCCACCTTCAATTCTCGAGTTAGATGTCATTTCCTGCAATCGTCCTTGACTCCCCAAATCAAAGTAAACATAGTACTTTCTAAAGTTCCATACATAGTGGAAGTTTCTGTTTATTTCTCTCTGCCCTGAAAATGTGAAAATAGCTTACTTTATTGACATGTGTCACTAGTAGGGTTCTCCAGAGAAACAGAATCAATAGGATGAGTGAGAGATTTATTTTAAGGAATTGGCTCATGCAATTGTAGGGACTGGCAAGTGTGAAATCTGCAGAGCAGGCTACAGACTGGAGACTTGGGAAAGAACTGTTGTAGCTTGAGTCTCAGGGAGAATCCTCTACCTGGGATAGGGTGGGGGTGGGCAGGCAGAGCCACCTCCCTCCCAGGTCTTCAAATGAACACGGTCCAACTATAGTATGATAGATAATCTATTTTCCTCAGAGTCTACTGATTTAAATGTTAATCTCACCTAAAAATACCTTCACAGCAACTCCTAGACTGGTGAGTGACTAAATATCTAGGTACGGCGGCCTGGCCAGTACACCACAGTGCCCAACATATGGGTTCTATGCCTAGCACATGGTGAGCTTTCAATGAATATTTGATGAATGAGTTAACAAAAACCCTTCCTGTTAGTAGGGAAGTTTTGATATCATCCAATTTAAATCCGGTAGTTTTTGCATCAGTTAGCTTATGTTATGTTTTGTTATGTTATGTTATATGTTTGGCAGCTCTATGCTGCCAAAACAATGATACCCTGAGAGCTTCAAATCATAAAGGCTTACTCTTTGCTCATAGTACATAGCCACCAAAGCTTGGCTCTGCTCTGTTCATGCCACTGTCATTCTGAGACACAGGCTGATGAAACAGCCTGTCTATAATTCAGCCTGTATTAAGGAGAAAAGCTCTTAAAAAGTTTCTGCTTGGAGATACCCACATCATTTCTACTAATATTTTACTGGTGAAAGTGATTTCAAGGCTAAGCCATGGGACAGGCATATGTAACCATCCAGCAGGGAGAAGCAAAGCCTGAATGTGTAATCAGATGGGTGGTCGTTATGGGTTGAACTGTATCGCCCAATTCCATACACTGAAGTCCTAATTCTCAGTGCCTCAGAATGTGGCCTTGTTTGGAATTGGTGTCGCTGGAGATGGAATGAGTTAAGATGAGGTCATTAGAGTGGCCTCAGCCATTATAACTCGTGTCCTTATCTGAAGGGGAAGTCTTGGCACCAGGACACACAGAACATTACACGAAGGAAAGGCAGACATTGGTGTGATGCTTTCACAAGCCAAGGAATGCCCAGGATTGCCAGGACATCACCAGAAGACAGGGCACAGGGAGCAGACAGTCTTTCTGGCAGCTCTCAGTAGGAACTGACTCTGCTTTCACTTTGATCTCAGGATTTTAGCCTCTAAAACTGTGAGACAATAAATGTTTGTTGTTTAAGCAATTTAGTTTGTGATATTTTGTTAAAGAAACCCAGGCAAACTAATTCACTGCTGAAAGTTACAAGACACCTTACAAAGTCCAAAGAGACCCAGATTCAGCAGTAGGTGTAAATGCTTACTGTATAAAAACTACTTCCCAGCATAGACCAGGAAATCAAAAACACCTGGAATTCTATTGAGACCTGGGCACTAGTCCCAGGTATATAAAGAAACATCTGTAAGGTTTGTATAATTTTTTGGACCCAGCTAACTGTAAGAGGTGACTTTTGCTATAGGCTACAGGCCTGACACGGCATATAATGTCCTGCTGTATTATCAACATATAACTAGTGAAATCATAAGCAGCTTCATCCTTTGTTAGCTTGAAGAGGAAGGATGCAGTTCTAAAGATCCACCACAAGATGGCACACACGACAGATAAGAAAAATCCTATTAAAGCTTTACAATGTTTGCAGCAAACGTGCTAAAACAAGTTTGGAAATTTGAAAAAAGAACATCATGATTCTAAGGATCTAGAATGCCAAAATTTAAACCGTATCTCTCTCTTTTTCTTTGGTATTTTGAGACAGGGTCTCGGCATGCAGTTCAGACTGGCATTGAACTATGTAGCTCAGGCTGGCCTCTAACTTGTGGTGGTCCTCCTGCCTCAGTCTCCAGAGTGCCAACACACCCAGCTAAATTGTATCTGTTTTAAGGAAGCTGTGTATAACACCTGATGCAGGTAGGTGGGGTGGGACAGATGTTGAAAAAATTTTCCTTAATGGTGTGGTCAAGCTAGGGAAATCAAAGATATTTATATCTATATATTATGACTATCAATCAAGTCTTTACCAATGAAACCAAGATCATAGCCGAAAAAGATAACTGTAATAATACACAGCAAGAAAGGGCCAGAGGTGGAATCAGGAAAACTATACACAGAGTGTGTGTGTGTCCATGTGTGTGCGTGCGTGTGTGTGAGTGTGTGTATGTATTTTGATGTTTCAACAACCATTGTGATAAGTAGTATTCCTTCATTCTTTAGCATTTCCTAAATGTCTCTTTTGTTTCAAATGTAGATTTAGTTTGAAAAGAAACTTGGTTCTGCCCTTCCTGCTCTGCGTTGTTTCTGTGGTGGAGCAGGACTCTGTTTGCAGCTCGTGTATGCAGGACAGCAGGTGACTTCTCAGCACTGTGACTTTGCTGAGGCAGAGGTGCACCCCAGTTGGACACTGGGGAAGAGACAAGCATGTAAGGGCTGCCTTTGAAGTTTCAAAGCCACATTCATTGCATCTCTTAGCTGCACAAGACAGAAACTCAACTGGAAATAGCTCGAGTAAAAAGGGGAATTTATTAGAAAGCTCATGTTGCCATGGCAAGGGTAGAGGTGCAGCCAGGCCAAAAGGTAACTGACATCAGGAACTTGAACCTCCTACAGTTTTCCTACAGCTCCATTTCTACCCACTCCGTCTGTCTGTCTGTCACCGTAGGCTTCTTAACAGTCACAGCTCCCAACTTCACCATCACACAGGGACTGAGAGTTGAACACTTAAAAATGTTAATAATTATTACTGCTGACATATTCAGTGAACTCAAATATACCTTAAGTTTCCTGTTGAGCCACAGGAGAGAAAATACTAACAAACATAGCTTACACAGGACTTTTATAAAGAATATGTAAACTTGTAAAAATATAAACAATTTCGACAGCTCAGTAAGAAGATAATTCAACTTCAAATGGGCAAAAGATTAGGCAGCCTCTTTGTGGATGATGTAACTAGCTAAAAAAGCACATTGAAAGATGTTCAAAATCATTAGTTACTGGGAAAATGGAAATTGAAACCACAGTGAGATAGCACAAGACACTCATCAGAACGGCGGTAGATAGCAAATCTTGGCAAAGATAAAGGGCACACAGAATTCTATATAACTCTGATGGGAATGGAAAATAGTACAACCTCTTTAGAAAATGATTTGGCAGGCATTTAAAAATTAAACATAAATCAACCACACAATGCAGGCATTCCACTGTTGGTATTTACCCAAGACAGTGAGAACCTATGTCTGTACAATGGCCTATATCAAATGCTCATACCTGGACATAATCCAAAAGTCAATCAACAGCTAAACAGAAAAGCAATAAAGAGATAATACTAATAAAAGGAAAAAAAGCTACTGGTACAGTACCATACAGATGAATTTCAAAATCATTATATGTGGAAAACATAAAAGAGCATATTACACTATCCCATTTATACAAAATACAAAAAAAGGTGCAAGCTAATCTACAGCAGCGATAAAGAGCCAATCAGTAGAGTGAGGGACAGACATTAGGAACACAAGGACTCTTTAGTGCCAGATGCCCTGCCTGTTGACTGTGGTAGGGATTTCAGGGTCTACACATCTGGCATATGATCACTGAGTTAAATTCTAAATGGATGCAGTTTATTGTGCCTTGATAAAGATGATTTTTAAAAGCTGCTAGGAGATTCTGAAATTGTGCTCTCATTCTTCCTCTGATCAAAATGCTGCTCAAGAAACAAGAATATCTCATGGATTTTAGATGTTTGCTAGGGTCTGACTATTCCATTAAAACCCAGACAAATAACTTTGTTTGGCCACTAGATGGCACAGCAAAATAACAGAATGTTCCTGTGACAGTGGACGAACTGAAGGTAAAACTCAGGATTGGAAATGCATGATGGGGAAAGATGACGTGAAGGCACACAAAGAAAAAATTAATTATAATAAACTCAGAGGAGCACTTATTTCACTCAATATTTAAGTTGCTTTATTATATAAGAACTATGCACTGCCTGTAGCACCCCTTACAGGACTGGAGGCTGTTGTGGAGTTATTTTGTACATTTGTAAATCAAAGGTAAGCAGTCCTACAAACTGTCATTCTAGAGGTTTGACTGACTTCCCTCCATGCTGTGGGGAAACCCGTTTTTGCCTTTGTGATTCAATTCCTTTACTTCATATACTTTTTGACTTTTCCTTTCAACTCATCCTCACTTCTATTTTCCTATTTTAGGCCTTTAATATCTAGGTGTTGAAATAGAGGTTTGAGAGTGTTTTGCTTTTTTCTTTTCTTTCTTTTTTGGTGTTTTGAGACTGGACCTCACTAGTTGCCTTGAACTCACTACGTGGCCCAAGCAGGCCTCGAACTCTCAGTAATCCTCCTGCCTCAGCCTTCTGTGGGGTGGGATTATAGGGGTGTGCCACCATACCCAACTGAGAGTAACTTTCACCTAGGTTCCTCTTGTTTTCTCTTCTTGCTATATGGCAATATTTTTTTCTTCAGCATTCAAAACATTATTTACTTGACATTACAAAAGTAATAAATGTTTTTGGAAAATAAGAAAATAAGACAGAAAAGTATAGCCTATCTGTTATGGTTTGAATCTCTAATGTCCCCCAGAATGTCTGGTGCTATGGCAGGTGGGTAACCTGTAGGACGTGGGACTCAGGTAGGGGCAGCAGGTCACTGGGTGGGCCTTGAAGGCGACCCTAGAAAGTGAAAATCTTATACCTAAATAATAGCCGAGAGATTAGAATTATGTTGAACAACATGGGATTGCTAATATTCTATGGTTTTTGACTCATGAAAATGTCAGTTTGAAATGATTTAAACTCATAAAACACTCAGCTACATACACCTAGATTCAGTAATTTTTAAGTTTTTGCTTTACTTGCTTATCTCTCTTTTCCTTTTTCTTTTCTTTAATTTTAAAGCAAGGCCTATACCTTAACTCATTAGATCCCTACATATGTGACAAATATCTCTAAAAATGATTGCCCTTTCCTTGTATAATTGCAATGGCATTACCATACCCAGTCACTAATTCTTTGGGATTATCTCATACCAGGTTGACAAGCATATTTGTCCTTTTACATTGTTAAATAAAAATTATAGGAAGTCATTGTTTTGGATTAAAGCTCTCAACAGAGAAGGCTAAAAAATCAAAATGGAGGGCCGGGTTTTAGCTCAGTGGTTCCAGCGCCTGCCTTGAAGCATAAGGTCCCGAGTTCGATCCCTGGTACCAAAAAAACCCCCCAAAACTCAAAATGGAATCACTCATCCTAAACTCCTACATCAGCAGTTATCTGACCTTCAAGAAATCAGGGTCAGTCAGTAGCCAGATGTCCCAATTTTGACTGGCATGATGATGAAATTCCCTCTGTCCAATTATTTCATGCAAAAAGCCGTCTGAACGTTAACTGAATACTTATTTTCCAGTTGTTCTGTCTCTCTGCTCCTATCCCAGGAAAGTAGCTTTGCAATGACCATCCTGCTTTGGTTTCTTGTGTCTGCTTTCTTTTGCCTTTTTCTGTCTGTAAAATAACCTCCAGCCTGGCCTGGTGGTGCACAACTATAATCTCAGCTATGGGAGGGTGAAGGAGAAGCACCACAAGTTTGAAACCAGCCTGGGAAATGTAGGGAGGCCCTGTCTTAGGGGGAAAAATCCTTTTCTCAGTTCAACACAACACTTGCAGTTTGACAGTAACTGGGCAAACAGGGGCAAGTGCTTTGGGCCATGCATTATACTTGGTGGTTATAGCTCTTAAACCTCTTGTCTTTCCAGTGCAGTCTCTTGACAATGCCCCTCCTCCTTGCTTTCTTGCCACTGATTACAGAAAAAACTGGGTCATGTATCTACCCTGTGTTCTAACCCACATTCTTGATTTGTTTGCCTTTCCATGACAACACCTCACCTGCTCCTTAATCAGCCGTATTTTCTATAAACTGAATAGAGGACATAGAACCAATATTTTTAGCCACTATAATAGCCTTTGGTGAGTAGGAAGATGGTGCTCTTTAGTGCACCAGAGCAAAACAGGGTGACTGTGGTATTTTGGTTATACATTTCACACTATGACCTTGGGCAAATTACTGAAACTACCTCAGCCTCCATTCTCTTATTTGGAAAGTATGAATATAATAATTCACATTAAAGGGGTTTATGAGAACGAGATAGCCGGGTGTGGTAGTGCACGGCTATGATCCTAGTACTCAGGAGGCCGGGGCAGGAGGATGGCCACAAGTCCTAGGCCAGCCTGGACTACATAATGAGTTTAAGGTCAGACTGATTTGCAGAGTGAGACCTTGTCTCAAACAAAAAAAAAAGCCCCCCCAAACAACTCACAAAAACAGGATATGAGGGCCATCTGGCTGCGATATCTGTCACCCATTGATCACCAGGGTTGATTCGGCTGATCTGGCTGGCTAGGCAGGTCCTCCTCCTCCTCACCACTCCAGGTGCGTCCCTCCCGAAGCTGCATGCTAGGTCCAAAAGGACGCCCACCCCCAATACAGGAGGCTAGAGAAGGACCATGTCCTCTGTCGAGGGTATATGAGTAGCTGCGCTCCTGTGGTGGAACCTCCAAAACAAAAACAAAAACAAAAACAAACAAACAACAAAAAGAAAATGAGATAATGAATATATATAATGACCATCACACTGTCTGATCCGCAGACAGGAAGCAGCTGCTCAGTGAATGTCAGTTCTGGTCAGAGATAGAAATATCTTCAACTTTTACAAAGAAACACTCCAAAAATATGCTTATAAAAAGTACCTGAAAAATTACATTTTTACTTTGATGTTGCAGAAAATGTACCATAATTTGTCTGTATGTCATAAGCAATACCTACACTGTAAGTAGAGAATCCAAGGATTTTTGAAGAACAAATTGTCTTTAGAAATTCTGTTTTATTACCAAGGAAGCAGAATCTCCTCTGGGCCAAAAACATGCTATAGGAGAGAAGAAAAATTGGAAAAGGGAGTAAATATACAATAATTGCATCACTCTCTGACAACAATATTCTTTTTATGATGCTCTCTATCATTCTTATAACAAACTTAGTACTTCGTTTATTTATAGTGTGGAAGAAATGTAGAAATTATCAGAATCAAAATGGAGTCAATTGTGTCAACCCTAACAAACAAAAGGCACTTCTAACCTGGGTGTGGTGGTGCACACCTGTAATCCCAGCACTTGAGAGGTGAGGCAGGAGGACCAGCCCAGGCCAGCCTGGGCTACAGAGCAAGACCCTAACAGCAAGACCCTGTCTAAAAACAAACTAAGTAACAAATAAAAACACCAAAAATGAAAAAGTGAATGATAAAAATCCAGCTTTCTAAAAACATTCAGGCAAAGAGAAATTTCACTTATGATTTTATACTATGAAAAGTTGAAAGTATGAAAGGTTACTGTACCAGTAGAGACAGATACTACCACTCTAACAATTATAATCAAACCCTAGACAGGAAATTCACTCAATGGACTCAAAGAGTCTACTGATACTAGTACCTATGAACCCCCTAATTTGTCAAAATGTTAAGGCTGCAGGAAACTTTAGCTGTGAAAAATAATACAGAGGATGTTTCTTAAAATGTAGCAGGCTGGGGCCAGGGATTTAGCTCAGTGGTTCCACCGCCTGCCTCACAAGCGGAAGGACCCGAGTTCGATCCCTGGTACTAAAAAAAAAAAATGTAGCAGGCTGGGAGTATTACACCCTGGGAGAGCCTCTGCTTAGCATGGGCAAAATGGTGGGCTCCATCCCCAGCACCAAAAAAAAAAAAAAGAGCAAAATATAACATACTGATCCTGTCAATAAAATCTCAGCTCAAGTGACTGCTCCTGAAAAGTCCTGCCCTGATCATGGAAGCTATAATAGCCTCTCAGCTACTCCATGTGACACCAACCTCTGCTAAGCACTCTTTTTCTTTTTCCTCCAAAGACAGAGTTTCGCTATATATTCCAGGCTGGAACTCACCATGACCCCATGACCTTGAATTTATGATCCTGAGTTCTGAGATTACAGATGCCGCACCTCCCCTCTTGGAGAGGATTTTTTTGCGGTTTGTTTACTTGGCTGGTTCCTCATTGGTTAATTTATAACATAAATTCCATTAGGAGAAACCTTGTGTATTAAGTTTCTCTGGCACATAGTAGGTATTCAATTACATAAATGTTGAATGACTAAATGAATACATAAAATCACATTAAAATGTTTTAAGTGGGCTATATTTAAGAAGAATCCTTTTGTGAGAGAGTGACTTTTTGTAAATAGTTGCCCCTTATGCCCATTTAAATTCAGCATAATTTAAACACAGGATAAGAAAAGTGCTTTCTTTCAAGTAATCAAGTGAGAGAAATATCTTTTAACTTCTTGAAATAAACTAGGGAAAAAAACGACGAGTCAGAAGGCCTGGCTTCTAGTCTTCATCTGTAAAAAAGGTTTCTATCTTTGGACAAAGCCACTAACTTCCTGCACTTGATGCTCGGTCAATGAATTCCTGGCTTGAAGATAATCTCAATCACTGCTGAGTCACTGGCCTGGCACTTGTGAGCTTACACTGTGGTGTCGGGGTGTGGGGAGGTTTCACCCCACTCTGCCTGAGCCCTGCCCTTAGCCACCAGGCTTTGGCAGAGTTGCCAGGGAAGCTGCTCATTGCCTTCTGGAAATCCCCAAAGCTAAATTCAGTGCCCTCCAGTATCTGTCTTCTACAACATTTCACCTCCAAAACACACTGTTCTTGCTAGTAACTCACCTGACTTCATTTCTCATCCACTTTCCCAACCTTCCACTGTGTCCTCTGGCATAGGCTCACCACTGTCCGCCAATTCCATTTTATCTTTGTTTTCAGAGTTGCTTCTACCTCAATTCTCATTGTTCCCAGAATCTGCCACTTCTGACTTCCTCAGTGTTGGCTTGCGTTCTTATAAGCTCCACATATATTGTTTTTACACTATCTGAAATACTTTTCAGTTATTTGTGGCAAAAATACCTGAAACCAGCTTTCTCGGCAATTTTCAAATTTACATTATTGCTAACCATAGTTGCCATTTGATAGGTCTCCCACCACCTCAGCAGCTATTATGTATAGTAGCTGCCCTCTTCTTATGGTGCCTTGTCCCCTCCCCTGTGTGACATCATGCCAAGATGGTTGCTCCCACCAAACAATAAACCCTTCTTCCCAGCATGCCCCTGTTCCCGCCTAGAAAGTAACCTAATACTCGCTCACCTCCTACCACCTAATGACATCATGGGCTCCTCCATTCCCTAGTCACTACCTCACTCAACCCCACCTCTGGCCCTACAAACCCCACCCCAGTCTCTATAAAAGACTCTCCTTGCCCCGGCCATATTGCTTTTGTCTCTCCTTTGTTCAGAGACAGCCCAGCAGATCTGTTCCCCTAATAAAGGCTTGTTAAGGCCTGGTCTGGTCTTGGTCTTCGGCCCTTTTACCTGACACCATTGTTATCAGCAAACTTTTTCCTGCTGTCTAATTTGCTATTGCTCAACCATTACTTCTCTTCTGTGCTCCACTCACTATCTCCTGACCTGCACTGACTCCCTATTAGGGATTAAGGAACTCTTAGGAAAGTTTTCTTCTCAACCCCAAGTACTGTGATCATTCTAGGTCATTGTGATGCCTTCAGCCAGACCCATCAAACAGCTGTTACTCCCTCATCCACTGCTCTCATCCTCCATTTGGCTTCGGTCCCTCTTTCCCATAATCACACCTCATACCTTGCCATTATCCCAAACTGGTCTGATCCCAAGATAACAAAAAAGGCAAGCAACAGAGCTTCTTGTCCTTGTACTGTACCTCATGTTACTAGCTGTCTCCTTTTGCTCAAGCTGGTGCAATCTATTTTTGTACCCATTACTTCCAGAGGAAGTGTGCTGGCTAAGTCAGTTTTGATCCCACAAAGCCTAAAATATTGCTGATCAATCCCTGACTCCTCCCAGATACACCCTTATTCCCCTGGCTTTGACATTAAATATAGCCCTCATTTTCCTCTTGCCTTTCTCCCATACACAATTAAATGATAGAATTCTTCAAACCCAGAATCAGGCTCTTTACCTGTCATGTGTCACTCCCTCAGCAGGTAATCTTGTGGAAGGAACTCTGGGCACTTTGATGGAAATTGCCTCAAGAAATCTAAACAGGCTAGCTGGGCCTGATGGTGCAAGCCTGGAATCTCAGTGCTCCAGGGGATGGAGAGTTTCAGCCCTGCCTGGTGATTTAGTGAGACCCTGTCTCAAAATAAAAAATAAAAAAAAGGCTGGGAATGTAGGTCAGTGTGAAGGTCCTGGGTTCAGTCTCCGGCACCGAAAACAAAAACACACAACCACTAAAACAAAAATGAACTCTAAGCAGACTGATTAAACAGATTTTTTAGGTGTTTGGAGGTTTTTAGCAGCAAGAGGAGAAAAGCTGGTTTGTTTGAAATAAAATCCTCCAGAGAAAACTGCAAGTAACAGCAAACATCACTGAGTTGCTCTGATTTACTCTTTAGGTGACCTCCACTAAACCGCTCAGAATACTGACATCCGGCCCTGAAGCTTCCGTTCCCTCTGCCTCAGGTGCTCAGCAAAGGGCCCGCTTGCACAAGTCAGGAAGAACCTTTCATATATGAACACCTCCAAATGCCGCCAATAAAAGCCCCCTTTGGGGAGACACTACTTTGAGAGTGAACTCCAGTGTGCTCCTTCCTGGAAGTAACAAGCCTTCCTTCACTTCTTTATCTCCTGGTTGTGTTTTTGAGCTTTGCCCTCATCAAGGGGCAAATCCACAGCATTGGGAGCCTTTAAAACAAGTTTTCTTTATAAAATATTTTTATGCTGGGGATTTAGCTCAGTGGTTTCGCCGCCTGCTGCACAAGCGCAAGGATCCAGTTCGATCCCTGGTACCATATATATATATATTTTTTTTTTTTCTTTTTTTTAAAAGAAAAACATTTATTGGTACATTTTAGACATACATAATGATATCATTCATCATAAGGAATTTGAAGTAAGCTTTTTCTTCTGCATTTTAAAGAAAAATGCTTTGAACAGTATTTTCTTTTTTTTTTTTTTTTGGTACCAGGGATCGAACTTGGGTCCTTGCGCTTGCGCAGCAGGTGGCGAAACCACTGAGCTAAATCCCCGGCCCCTGAACAGTATTTTCTAATGCAATTAATATTGCATGTATAACTTGTTTGTATATATATTCATCAACAAAGTAAATAAATTGATAAATTTGGGTGTCATGGAAAATTGGAAAAAAATCAAAAGGTATCTAGCTTTTAACTCTAAGCTGTATTTTCATTGCATTTTTCTAATTTCTCCCCAAAAGAATGCTTGGTTAAGGCAACGAGGCAAATGTGAATCGGGGTGTTCCAGTCAATCTAATCATGGGATGGCAATAGACTTCATGTTCAAAGGCATACAATCAATGGAAAATTAAACTGAGTTGTCCCCATCACTGGAGTAGACCCTTTAAGACAAAAATTCAGAAGGTGTGCTTGGCAGATTTTGGGGTGACCTGAACCTGAGAAGGCTGGTCAACTGTTGGAAGCAGAATTCAAAACTCAAATGTAGAGGAAGGAGTCAAAATGACTTTTTTAAATTTAAAAAGTCAAAGATTAACGCTGTCGACTTGCTTTCAAGTTATCAAGTTATAAACATTTTCCATATGCAGTAAATATGCATATGAGGTAGATAGGACGAGATTTGGTTAATTTGCTCAAGTCAAGAACATAGGTTAACTACAAGCTCAAGGAAGATTAACCGAAGCGGTTGCAAAAAGGGCTAGTGCTAGTGGACAGCTCAGACTGTCAGAAAGGTCTGGCTAAGTAGATTATTTTTCCTTCTTGCTTTACCTGTTAGTTCACTCCCAGAATGCTTATAAGGTTCACTGATCACAACAGAGGGTACCTAGGAGAAGAACTAGGTGCAGGTTGAGGGAAGTACACTGGGAAGGACAAACTTCAAAGCCATGTCATCAGAGCAGAAGTAGAAAAAAATTAGCCAAAGTTAGTCGGCACAAAATTAAAGGGCACCAACCAGAAACTGCTGAAATGTTGCTAGGTAAAATTGGACCTGTCTCCCCGCGGTGCCGGATTTTGAACCCAGGGACTTAACTTGCTAGGTAAGCGCTCTACCACTAAACCACAGCTACACCGCCAGCTCTCGCTCGGCTGGTTAACAGTCTTTGCTTCCTTTTGCAAAATTAAGAGCTCGGCTAAGAAATGAACTGGAGTCAGCAATCCCTTCACAGACTGCTTTCTAAAAGCGCAAAAGCAAACCGGCAAGACAGACTGGCATGCAAGGATTGCGTCCTGGGAGGCCAGTGATCTGGGCGCCGAAACTTTTAAGCCCAAGGTAGATCCCCTGCACCCGCCCTATAGATCTGCCAGGTATCAGTCCCCGGGCTCCATCAGCCAGCTGGTTTCTCAGCTCAGGACACCTAGGTCGATGCACGTGCAGATCGGGCTTTTTCCCAGTCTCGCAAGGTTTTCGGTGGCCTCCGCCTCGTGCTCCGTCCCACAAACCCAGCCAACTCCGCACGCGGAGGACCGCAATCCTCGTGCACCCGGATGAGCAGGATCCCACAAACACCCACCTGGTCTCCAGGGGCTCCGGTCCCTATCCGGGTTGGGGGGCTGGTGGGCGTGATCTTGTCCTGGGGGAGTAGCCTGGATGAGATTGACTCTGAGTTCTAGATGCTGATTGGCTGGCAGGTTAGGTAGGGTTCGCGGATTGGATACGGCTGGCTGACGGTAAAGGGGCGAGCGGGGCCGCAGGGAGTAAGGAGGCGGGCCTGGATGTGGCCGGGGATTGGCTCTGGGGTCTGGGCTAAAGGTACGGAGTGCGATCGCAAGCGAAGAGGAGAGGGTGGAAGTTCCGAACCTGAGATAGGGGCGGGAGAGGGGCGTGGACATGGAGGTGCATGACGATTGGCTATGGAATTTTAACCTGAGGCTCGGATTGGATGTGTGTGAATGATCGGGGTGGGTTATTCGACAAGGCTGGGTTAGGGTGGAGGACGCTCTCTCCAGTCACGGCCTTGGAAAAAACGTGGGTTGACGTTGGGATAATTTAGGTGCCAGGGAGAGGACACGCCTGAAGTGAGTGTGAAAGAGGCTTGTGCAAGTATTTGTCACCTGTGACGGGGGAAAAAAAGCGGACAGAAACTTTCCCTCCCTGAACAGTAGTGAATTTGATCAGAGAACCGTGAATGAAAGCGGGATGCGAGACTGAAGGAGGAAGATATGCGATACTTCAACAACAACAACAAAAAACAAAAGTAAGGACAGAAAATGGAGGAAAAAGAACACCGTGCTTCACTCCTTTGGGGAGGGCGGTGTTAGTGAATGGCAAGTTTCTGATAAGAATTCGTGTTGATTCACTTGTATTTTACGGAGATGAGAGGATAAAGACATTTTATGAGAGCAGTATTAACATTGTTATTCAGACCTACAGGAAAGAGCAAAACCAAATTTTGAAGGAACATACTGTAGTTGACACAGTGACCTTTTTTTCTGTCTTTATGCAAGATTATTAAATGATTTTGTCGCTTCATCATGCTTAAGAATGACTTTATTTGACATTGCTATGTTTTATTTTATTTTTGTGATAGTGCAGATTGAAAGCAGGCAGCACTGAGCTAAATCCTCAGCCCTTTTTCTATTTTATTCTAAGACAGGGTCTCCCTGAGTTGCCCATGGTGGCCTTGAACTTGCCTTTCTTCCGCCTCAAACTCCTTAGTAGCTGGGATTACAGTCGCGAACCACCATGCTGGGCTGATTGTGAAAAGTTTTAATGGGGGAACATCACGGCCAGTTCTTGACAACAGAAGGTGAAGTGTCCTGTACAGTTCCCAGTGCCGGGGGCTGCTTTTCTTCATCTCACTTTACACAAAGTGAAAGCCAGTCGTGGCCAAACAGTTGTCATCCTATGCACTTGGGAAGCTGTTATGGTTTAGAGGTGATTGGATCATGAGGGCTCTGTACTCCTCAGTGGACTCATCCATTGACTCAGAAGCTGAATATGGGTGACTGGGGCGTTGGCCTGGGAAGGTGCATCCCTACCCCCTTCTCTGTCGGCTTCCTGGGTGCCAAAGGATGAACAGATGTTCTCAGCCAGTCCTTTCCACCATTTCATTTCTGCTTTGGAACCAGCCAGTTTCGGACTGAACCTACTGGGAAATGTGTGCCAAATAAACTACTCTCCCTTTAAGCTGTGGGTGTCAGGTATTTTGTCCCAGAGATGGAAAGTGACTAATACAGAAGCCCACGCAGGAGCATTTGCAAGTTTAAGGGCACACTGGGTAACATAGTGAGAACTTGCCTCAAAAACCAAAACAAGCCAAAACCAAAAATAAATCTGAATTATGTACTGAGCATGATACTGAGGCATCATGCTTTGCTGGAAGTGTTTTATTTATTTATTTATTTGGTAACAGGGATCGAACTTGGGTTCTTGTGCTTGCGCAGCAGGTGGCGAAATCGCTGAGCTAAATCCCCGGCGTGCTGGAAGTGTTTTAAATCTTACATACTTGTAGGGAGAAAGAGAGGCAATAAACAGGTAAATAAGAAAAATGACTTCACAGGGTAAGTGCTGTAATAAGCAGCCCTTCTATCCCTCCCTCTTTCCCTCCCTCCCTTCCTTCCTTCCTCAGCTTTCTTTCCTTGTATAATTAATTTTGGGTTTTCTGAAAATGGAACCCAGAAACTTTCCCATGCTAGAAACATGCTCTTCCCCCTTCCACTGAGCTCCATCCCTCACCTAAGAGGGGAAGTGCAATGAAAGAAGCAAGGGATGGTGACAATAGTAGAGACTGTAAACAGCGTGGTGGGGAAATGCTCTTTTAAGAGAGGGATTTGAACTCCGAAGTGAATGATAAGGTGGCAACCTTTCCAAAAAATGATTCTGGAAAGGAAAGCGGCAGCTGAAAAAGCCCTGAGTGTGGGCAGTGTACTACAAGCAACTCTCTAAAGTAAAAGTTAATAGGTGTATTACTTTTATCCCTTTGGCTTCTTTGTTTTCTGAATAAAAAATATGTGCCTTATGTAGATAAATCCTAGTCCGACTCATCATACAGGTGTGTCCAACATGTGGCCTGCTTCCCTGCCTTAAGTGACACAACTTCCTTCACTTTAAACATTTTTCACTAAAAAGCAAAAAGAAGCCAAAGAAAGACAGAAAATGTCAACAGCAACATCTAACTAGGCAGGCCACAGATCGAACACAACCCAGGACAAAATATATCCTGAAACATAGCACACAGAAGGCAGTAACTGTAGTTTATTTGATTAATTGATTGATTTTTAGTAAGGGTAGTTTATAAGCCAGATTATTTATCCCAGCTCTACGACTTAGAATGGTGCTCAAGTTTTAGTAAGTATAGAAACATTCCTTTAAAAAAAGGGAAAGAGAATCATTAGGATGAGCTGCTGGTTATTCTCCACTGGTTAGTATTCCTTTCCTCTCTCAAGAAGGAATAAAGCCCCTGTCACTGTTAATCGTGTCAACTTGACTCAAGAAAGAAATACCCAGGGGATCAGTAAAGCACACTTCCCGGGGTGTCTTGGTGGGTCATAAGGGGTGGCCTTGGGTACTATATATGGTCCCTGCCCTGTTCCTCTCTGGCATCTCTGTTCTGCTTCCCAGATGCTGTGAACTAAGCAGCTTTGCTTGGCTGTGCCTTTCCAGCATGATGTTCTTGCCTTGGAGCTATGGGATCATGGACTAAATTCCCTGACAATGTGAACTAAATTCAGCCTCTCCTCCTTTAAGTTGTGGTTGTCGCGTTCCAGTGATGGGAAAGCTGACTAATACAGACCACTAAGTTTTGCTAAGGATATAGTACATGAAGACTGTATCTTTAATCTCTTATGACTAGGTCAGCCACAGGACCATATTCTGCCCAATGGGGCTATAAACGGAAGCTGTATGTGCAGCTTTTATGTGATGTCTTGGAAGAATACCAGGCCCTTCTTCCCATGGTTTGTGGTTTCCCTGCCAGTTTAAATCCAGTTATTGATTTGATTGACTTATTGATTGATTGTACTGGGTGTCTTAGTTACTTTCTTTGTTGCTGAGACAGTACCTGACACCCATGACTTAAACATTTTGGCTCATGTTTCACTCCATGTTTGGCCAGCTCCAAGGAAGAAACAGCATGACAGAGGGTGAAGAGTTGGTCACCTCATGACAGCCAGGAGCAGAGATGGACCAGGAGGAGCTGGGAAAGGAGATGTGTCCTTCTGGTCAGCCCCTAGTGAGTCACCTCTTTGGACAAGGCCCCACCTTCTAACAGCAAGTCAGCTGTAAGCCCCTGTCCAGTCACCTTCCAAAAGTCCCACCTATGAACACATAAGACTCTTGGGGGACAACTAGATATAAATCATAACAGGGGATTGAACGTAGGGCCTTTGCACTGAGCTAAACCCCCACCTCTTATTAAAAATATTTTTTATTTTGAGATAGGGTCTCCTTAAGTTGCTAAGTTACCCAGGTTGTGCTCTGCTAGGATTACAGGCCTGGTTCCCATGCCTGAGTTGAGTGCAGTCTTGATGGCTACAGCCCTCGAATTACTGTGTGGAATCTGCAAGTTGAAGTTTTACAGAACAATACAGTGAGAGAGGAGTCCGAGTTCTGACATCATGGAGCCCTTATTCCAGCCCTGTAGCAACCATCTGCATTCACATGAAAGAAGAACCTACTTCAATTTTGTTTGACTATTTTATGCTTTAGTATTATGAACAAATCACTAAGTCAATTGTGCTTTTTAACACATTATCCATTTCATTTAATGCCCATCTTTGCAAATTATGCATTGCTACTACATAGTCACAATGTGTAATTTTTATGTTACTGTGTAATCCATTTTTAACTCTCTAAAGTTATAAAATGTCTCTTTAAAGTTGTGTCTGGATGAATTTAGCAAGAAGGAAAATTTAGTCCGTTAGCCCGTTTGTTTATGACTCAGACTCCTTTTCATAATGGTGGCTTCATCCATCTCCTTGTGGAAATTATATGGAGACTGTAGATCTCTATACAAGGAAGCATGCTTCACCTTGGACCCATGAGCATCCAGAAATCCCATTATTGCTCATTGATTGGGAAGCTTTGATATAATGAACTATACATTATCTCCAGTAAGAAACTAGGATGTCTGTCCCTGACATTAGAGTGCATTGTACACTTGGCCAGTTGGTGCCCAACTGTGTGGTGAGATTTTGACCTAAGACTGTGTTCGGTGTCCATTTATATACTGGTGGTCAGCTGGAAGAAGAAACACTTGAATGACGGAAGTGTTATCTTCTTTAGTGGTACAGTGGTAAGACGCATCCTTGGTGCACAATTTACAATCTTTTAAGAAGGTTGTTTTTTTTTTTTTGGTGGGAAATAAGGTTGAACCCAGAGCCTCACAAGCTAGGCAAGTGGTCTACCACTTAGCTGCGACCCTAGGCCATGATTTCAATTGTACTGAATGTCTTAGAAGATTTTTGGTATTGTCATGCAAAACCTAATTATTACTAAGTGAAGTGACACTTGCTTTGTCTTCTAAAATTGCTTGAGTTATGCCTTGAGGAAGAATGATAGGAAAGGAAGGTCTATTCTTTCTTTAAATTTTTTAAAGTTTTTTATTAGTACATGTTTGCAGTACCTAATGTTTACCTTTATCTTAGGGAATGGGTACATATATTGAATGTATCTTGATTCTTTTTACTTCCCTTCCTCTCCCCTCCCTCCTCCCTCCTTCCATTTCTAGATTTCCTTCTCTCATTTTAATTTTTAAAATTCCCATTTGTGACACATAATGATCATGGGTAGTTGGTACATGTACGTGACACATCTTAGATCTTTCTATATCCTCTTCCCCTCCTTCCCTCCAGTGCTCCTTTTCTTGGTCTTTTCCCACTTGCAAAAGGTCTATTTCCCTGTTTCCTTTTATTAATCTCTTATTTTGCTCTTCTTCAGGTCCTTAGTTTATGACACATCTTTTCTTTCGCCTATTTGCACTTGTCCTGAGATTCTGTATCTCATTCTGAAGTCTTCTGCTCTCATTCTGGAATCCCTCCCTTAGTAGTTGCTCCTGTTCCTAAAAAAAGAGACAGAAACCCAATAAACCATAGCACTGAGTAAATTCCTATATTCTGTCTAGTTTGCATATCCATTGATTATTTAGTATTCAATTTCCCAGTGAAAATTTCTCTACCCCTAATTTTCTTTCTTTTCTTTTTTCTACCCCTAATTTTCATCATACTTATTCTTGGGCAGTTGAGCTCTATAGTTACTTCTTCAGCATGTTTTTTAGCTAAGAAGTAGTTTCAATTATATTTCCTAAAATAATGACCCTAAATTATCAGTCAAAGTATTCTCGAAATCTGATAGAATGTCTGCAACTTAGGTTAGGATATTTGATCTAAGGGCACTAGATATTATTAGCAGGGGTGGCAGAAGGTATGTTAGAAAATTAGAGTTGCAGACTGACCATACTGAATGTGGCACACAGCTCACAACTAAACACAAATTGGGCCCAAGTACAGAAAGCAAATGGAGCAATTATCACAAATGTGAGGGTTGAGGGATCCTTCTGCCCATTTAGGTCCCTTAGAGCTGAGATCATACCAGGCGTGATTTAAAACAAAAAATCATTGTAGATTCCACTGTGTGGTAAAGACAGCTCAGCTATTTTACCTCTGTATGACTATATAAAAGTTATTTAATCTTTTCTGAGCCTATGTTTTTCTCTTAAGAAATATGGATGTAATTCTTGCTTCACATAGTTTTAAGCAAGAGATATAGATAAGACATATTTCATGCTGCTTAAAATATAGTAGCTGCTTGAGAGCTGGTGATTTAGTTCAGTGCTTCCGCCGCCTGCCTTGCAGGCGCAAGATCCTGATTTCAATCCCCAATATCTATCTATCTATCTATCTATCTATCTATCTATCTATCTATCTATCTATAGTGGCTGCTAATTGAAAGATATACTACTGACAAAAGACTGAATGTAACTCAATTGCAAGCAAAGACTTAATGACCAGACATGGGCAGTAGACTAGTCAGGCAGATACATAGGAATCAAAAACTACAAATAGCAGGCAAGGTCATTTTTGGGGCTTCATGTTTTGCTTGCCACACTAAATTTTTGGGATTGGGGGAATGGAAAAGAAAACAGAAACCTCAGGGTAGTGCAGTGGAATACCTGGAGTTTAAGAGCTATAATCCTCTCATTCTCTTGCATCATCTTGACCCTATCTGTGTCCATCTTCTCAGTCAACTGTTTGATATGTTCCTGATAACTCTTCTCTTTCTCTTGCATCATCTGCTCCTTTTCCCTGTTCATGTCCTCCAACATTTTTGCAGTAGCCCGTGCAGATTCAGCTTTCACACGTTCCACTGAAGAGAGACAGAAAGAAGAAAAATGTAAATGGGGTTACCATGTTACCTCATTTTTCTTCCTACTCGTACTTGTTACTGCTGATGGTGTAGGCTCTACTCAAATGTGCTGTTGGGAACCGAGGCACATCTTTCTTTGTCTTGTTCTAATTTTAGGATCCCAGATTTACTTAGTCAAATTATGTAAACTTTTAAGAGTTTTTGAGACCAATTAGCCTCTTGACTCACTTCTCACCTTCAATCTGCCTTTCCTTTTCTGTGAGAGTCTGGTCTGTCTGTAGAATGGCATTAGTCACATCTTCCTTGGATTGCAAGTATTTCTGCAGAACCTCTTCAGCCTTAGAGACCAGAGAATGTAGAGTTAACAGTAGGGAGTGACTGTGAGAATTTGTTTCTGTCTGTCTCCCACCACTTTATCCTCTAGGAATTGCCCCTCTTGGCTCTAATGTTGCTGGTGGCCAAGATTCCTCATCACAGGAATGGGCACATTCTTCAGGCTGGCCAGACAGAGCTCCCACTAAGCAATGTTCCTTACAGGGGGTTAGTTGGGGAAAGAGATTCCTTTGAGGTCTCAAAATTGAGAGGTAAGGATGATGTTCTCTGTATGGGCTGAGCATCCTGAAGAGTGGAAGCTGTCCTGGAGAAAGCAGATCAGAGCAAGAAGTGGAGAGAGAAAGAAAGGCAGGGAAGTATGGGCTTATGAGAGCAATGGAAAGACTGACAGATGATGACATCATTTGAAATCTTGCATCCAGTTGTCATTTAAAAGTAGTTTGAATCTGATAAATTATCATTTTTGTTTAAGGCACAGTTATTTTCTGTCCCCTATAGTGGAAAAACGTCCAGCTGTAATAATGGATAATAGTAACATTCTGTGGTTATTCTGATAATTTAATTTATAACTGGATTGTTAATTGAGTGCATTCTGATGAGTATCTAGGACATGCTTAGTGTAATGGACTCCATGTAAATGTTGTTGAATGAAAGTGTGACTGTTATGATGACATCAAGGCACATACCTGAGCAATTACTTTGGTCACACTGGTGTTTAAAACAGCCTCAGCAGCTTCCCGGAATGCACAGATAAATGTTAGTTACCTGTATCCCCTTCCTGGGTTCCTCTTGGTACTTTTTCTTCAGATCTTCTACCTTCTGAATAAGGAGACGGTAGCCCCCTGGTTTAGAATAAACACCTTGTTTCACCTCTTCTTCTAGAGGACTGAAAATGTCTTGAAGTAAAGCTGAACAACGATCTGAAGATGCTTTCATATTCTGTTTGTAGAAGTCATCTCTTTTTTTTTCTAGCTGGGCCTTTAATATAAAGATAGAGAAAGAGTAATGGGAAAAGATGTTAGCTTATCTCAGAATTTCTGGAAATGGTTTTTGAAAAAGAGTCTATGACCCCCTAGAAAAACTGACAGGGGACCTCAACAGGACTATCCTTCCTACTGACCCTCCTTTCTACAGCTGTCTGTGTCTCCTTGGAGTAGAAGTTCAGAGTAGAGGTTGCTAGATTTTTATTTTTTATTTTCTGGTGGTTCTGATGACTGAACCATCGCCTTGCACATACTGGGCTCTACCACTGAGCTATATCTCTAGCCCAAATTGCTAGCATTATGCCACATCTCAGATGTAAACTTTCACCTTTTCAGACTGGACTGATGATTGCATGTGGAACAAATTTGGCTCAAATAAACCTGTTTCTTTGCTTTTGGGTTCAATATCAAATCAATTTGACACCATGGGCATATAATTTGATCAGAAGCACGGATCAGAAATTATATGCATTAATTAAATTAAGGGGGAGATTATTAATGTAATCATGAGACGAAAGTATTTCAAAACTTTGAGTCCATAATAATAAAAGTGTTTTTTCTTATTATGATTATTCATAGGTACTTGTCACAATTTTGAAATCAAGTAATACTTAATTCTCGCAATGTACACACTCATTTCCTCATAGATCTTTGCCTTCAGAAATCCAAATCCATAGAAACATAAGAAAAAACTACCGCTAATTCCTTTTGAAATATTTGGTCAACATCTTTGAAGGAATGTTTGATGAAGATCTCAATGGCTTCCCTCTCACAGGCCCTGTGCAGCTCCAGCAGCTCCTGGAGGTTGTCTGTGGGCAGCTGCACCTTCTGGCCCATCTGCTGGTCATAGTGGGCCAAGGCCTTCTGCACTGCAGCTGAGTTCTCTATCTGGGCCAGGGCCAGGACTGCGTTCTCCATGCAGGGCAGATCCCCACTGCTGATGGCACTGAGGTAGGTCAGCACAAGGGTCTCCAGACCTGCATATAAACAGCAGGTGATGATGCTTGTTATAACATGAGTGAAGAAAAGCCTCTTATTCTGTGTGATTCAGCATGTCAGTTATCTTGTTCTGCTGAAGAATCAGTGTTCTCAGCATCACCCCGCAATTTGCTAGAAATGAAACATTTCAACCTCTGTGCCAGATTTATAGAATTAGAACTTCGTCTTTGGCAGGATCCCCAGGTGATATGTATGCATGCCAAGGATCAAGAATCCTGGTTCTAAATCACGTAGATTTCTGTTTATTAAATGTTTTCATGTATTTTAACCACAAGTACCATTAGAACTAAAAGCATAACTCCTCCATTTGTGCCTGTGTCATCATCCCTGTCCACAGTAAGCCTTTGGTCACTATTTATGGAAGAACAGATGCGATTCCAATTAAAAGGAACCACCATTTGGTTGATTAGAATAAACAACATTATCCAAGAGAACTCTCTTTGTGTGCTGAAGCAATAGTGACTAGCCACATGGGCATATGAGCCCTTGAAATATAGCCATATGATCTCCATTTTAAATTTTCTTTCAGTTAGATTGATTTACCTTTAAATTTAAATAGCCACAGTTGCCTAGTGGCTAACATATTGCAGAATGAGGTCCAGTTTAATGAGGTGATTTTTAGAAATAAAGCCTTTTTCCCCTTTTGACCTTTCCTATCTTTTTCCATTAAGAAATATGATTAATGAAATTTATTATAAAATTTGGTACCATCTAAAATTTAACACAACAGGAGCAATAGTTGGCAGTTTTCAAAGCTGAATCTAGGTTCATTTTATTTCTTATTTTTTGTCTTATTAATAAGTGAAAATCTTGGGAAAGGTACTTACGAGGCCCATTGACCTCGATGCCTCCTGGAAGAGTTTTAATCTTGGAAGAGCTAAAAATGTAAGAACAGAATTCTGTAACTTGTTGCACGAATTCAGAGTCCAGCTCATCATCATGCAGCATCTCCAGCTTGGCCAGCTTCTTTTGATGAGAGGGTCTATTGAAGACAAAACATTTCTTCTCTGGGAAGAACTTCCGGATACAGAGTCGAGGCAGATTAAAATTTTTCTCTTTCTGACTGGTACCTGCAGGATGATAAAAAAGAGATTTGCCTACTGTAAGGATTTGAACATTTTGATAAAATGCCAAATAGCATATATTTTTAGCTTTTTAGGCCAGGTAGCCTCTTTCCCATGTGCTCAATTCAGTTACTGTAGAATGACAGAATCTGTAGACAATAAATCAACGAGGCCAACATTCTTCCAATAGCATTTATTTCAGCAGGAGGCAGGGCTTCACTGGCCATCATGTGTCTGTGAACTATACTTTTCCAACACTTGGACTAGAAGACTATTCATGCTTCCCCCCACCCCCTTTTTTTTTTGAGATGGGATCTTGCTATGCAGTCCAGGCTGGCCTCAAATTTGTGGCAATCTTCCTACCTCAGCTTCCTGAGTGCTGTGATAACAGACATGTACCACCAGGCCCAGCTTACCACACTTTAATCTATTTCCTACAAATATGTATCTATTGCATTTCATAGTCTGATTGAATACAGAGGCACATATCTTAAGCAGGAAGATAAAATTAACCTAATCATAGCAAAAGGAAAGGTGAAAGAAAATAGAAACATGTTCTTCATCTGCTGATGAGCATCTAGGTTTTTTCCAGAGCTTAGCTATTGTGAATTGTACTCCTGAAAACATGAGTATATACTATAATATGATGACTTTAACTCTTTCAGGAATATACCATGAAGAGGCATAGCTGATATGACCATCTGCAGATGGATGGGTGAAGAAAATGTGGCATATATACACAATAGAATTTTGTTTAGCCATAAGGAAGAATGAATTTGTATCATTTGCAGAGAAATGGATGGCTCTTGAGACTCTAATATTAAATGAAATAAGCCAGAAACAGAAAGCTCAATATTGCATGGTTTCTCTTATATAAGAAATCCAAAATATAATAAATTAAAGAATAAAATAGCTTGGGAGGGGGGGAAATGGGATAAAATAAAATTTATTTTAAATGAAATGAGAAAAGAGAATAAGATAAAAGAGAGATGATAGGAAATAGGGAGAAAGACTTGGGGGTGGGCAAAGATCAAGAGAAGAGTTGAAAGGGCCGTGTGTGTGTGTGGGGGAAGATCTAAAATGAAAAAGATGAGAGATATATATGTGTGTATATATATCTCCCCAATGTAAATAAAACATACAACCAACATACCAATAAAAAATAAACCAGGGCCGGGGATTTAGCTCAGTGCTTCCGCCGCCTGCCTCGCAAGCTCAAGGGCCCAAGTTCGATCCCCGGTACCGAAAAAAACCCACAAAAAACAAAACCTATTCCTCAAACAAGGAAGAAAATATTTTTAAATGAAATCTATTAATTCAGATATTAAACATTAATTTCTGAGAGCAGCTAGGTGGAAGCAATAGAAAATTATTGACGTAAAAAAGTATAAATAGAAAATTAAAAGATGATAATTTCTAGTGTTTTGATATCTCTTTTCACCAATTATACATCCCTGCTACCTTGCTTCAGCTTCAGGGAGTTCTCCAGGTAGGCATCTGCAGAGATGGTTTGTCCATCCAGCTCCAGTTCCAGGCAGAAATCTCTCAGCGTCCACACAAAGTCTGGAAAGAAGCTCACAAAATCAGCTGAGTCTTCATCCTCATTTGTGTCGGGTGAGGATTTGGCTCTGATCAGATCTGTCAGCTCTGTGACATAGCTGAGGAGCTAAGGAAAACTGGCAAAAATAACAGGACTACGCCCCCATGCCATATTTATTCCGCAAATTCCCAAACCTTCATTTACCTTTGTTCTTAACATAAATGGCACTTCTTTTGTATATAAGTGATTCTTTCCTATACTTAAGGTACTGTTTATGTGTTCTGCTTTTGAGGATCCAGAGTTGGGTGGCTGGTTTGCTAACACAAGTCTCTTGTCTGCTTTTCCTGGTGTTGTGGACCACAAAAAGGATACTGCAGTCGGTCCATTGCCTCTTTATCAATGATTCCCATGCTGTTGTACACAAAGGTGCTACTTAGAAGTATGGCCAGGGCAAAGATCCAGGAGTCGTTCTGGAGGTCACTCTGGAAGCCAGGACACATTTGGGTCACGAGTAGTTTTTATTCCTATGTCACTTTAAAAATCAGCAGTGGTAAAATTATGCTCATTTATTGATAGATTTCTAGACTAATTATATAGAAAAGGAACCCAGTTCCAAAAAAAAAATCTTGTCTGTGTGACCCGAACATTAAGTATTTTTTTGGTTAGTGTTTGGTTTACACTGATTCTCACTGGGCCCTCTTATGATTATTGACAAATAACTGAAAAAACAGTCAAGGTTGTGAAAATTTTAAGGTCTTAAAGAAAATTTGAATTTAAAAAATTCCCTCTCTCTCTCAACAGTAAAATTTACTTAGAAGAGATTTAGAGCTGGGTGTCATGGTCCATGCTTGTAATTACATCCACATAAGATGCCAAGGCAGGAGGATTTGCAAGTTCAAGGCCAGCCTGCACAATTTATAGAGACCCTACCTAAAAAAAAAAGAGAAAAAGGCAGTGGCCTAGGGACATAAGTCAGTGATAGAGTGCCCAACATTTAAATTCCCAGTACTGACCTCAGGATGCTAAACTTCATCTCATGTAAGAAAAAAATGAAAATATATGCTATGGGTAAGTGCAAATTCTTAAGTGAAAATTGCATATTTCAGAGACTGTTCAAAGATAAGGAGCTACTCCAAAGTAGAATCCGCAATCCTTACTTTCTCAACATCTCCCAGGCCTTCAGTGTCAAGCAGAACTAGAGTCTGGTTTGGCTTCTTGGGATGAGGCACACACCACATCCAGATTCCTTTGGTGTGAGCCTGCACTGTGGAGCCCAGAGAGAAGCCTGTAAAACACAGATGAAATAAGATGTCTGAGTTTTAATAGCAGGTGTATCTGAAATTGAGATGAAAGTTAGTATAATCAATGTTAGGAGTGAGTACTGAAATTACTGCAAGTATTGATCTCAATTAAAATCAGAAATTATAACAATAGATTACTCATTAGAAGGAAAAACTCCAATAGATTTATGATAGAAAGCACTCATCAGCCCAGTATGATGGGGCTTTGCCCCTGTGATCCCAGCTATATATGAGACTGAGGCAGGAGGATCGCCACTTCAAACTCAGCATAATCAACACCTTGTCTCAAAACAAAAATTTAAAAAGGCCCAGGAATATAGCTCAGTACTAGGGTGTTTTCTAACATATTTGAAGCTCTAGGTTCAGTTCCCAGTACCACAAAAACAAACACAAGTAATCACAGATAAACACACACACACAAACACAGGTTGGAGATAGCTCAGTCCTTCCAGGGTTGAGTACCTAGTATTGTAAAAATATTCAACAAACCAGAAGTAGAAGGAAACTACCTTAATTCAATGAAGTCCATGTATGAAAATCCCCAGCCATTGTTATACTCAATGGTAAAAGACTGAAAGCTTTTCCTCTAAGATCAAAAACAAGAAAATGGTGTCTACTTTGGCCATTTGTGTTTAACATTGTTCTGGAAGGCCTATTCAAAATAGGCGAGAAAAAGAAGTAGAAACCACCAAAATTTTGAAAGAATAAGTAAAATTATCTTTGTAAATGGATGACATGGTTTCATATATAAAAAACATTAATTATTCCAAATCCTGTTAATATAAACATCAACATTCAGAAATCATTTATGTTTCTGTACACTAAAAGTGAACAATCTGAGTAGGAAATTAAGAAAACAGTCCCATTTATGAGCACATCTAAAGAATAAACCACTTCAGAATAAAGAATACCAATTATAACCTTAAAACTTAGATACTGAAAAATACAGAACATTGATGGACAAACTGAAGAAGACACAAATAATTAGAAAAACATCCCATGTTAATGGAAAAGAAGAACTTTCTTGAGTCAGGGTCAGGCTGGCCTTGAACTCTCTTGTAGCCTGAGCTGGGCTTGAATTCACAACAATTTTCCTGCTTCAGCCTCCCTGTGCTGGGATTAGAGGTGTGTACCACCATGTGCAGCTCTGATTTAATATTTTTAATATGTTATTACTATCCAAAGTGATATATAGATTTAATGAATCCCTATCAGAAGTCCCAAGGAACTTTTGTAGAAGTAGAAAAAATTCAACCTAATTTTTGCACAACATCTCTAGATACTCCAAAGTAGCAAAAAAAATCTTTAAAAGGAACTACAAATTTGGAGGATTTGCACTTTCATTATTCTCATTACTGCAAAACTGGTGATCAAACAGTGTGGAACCAGCACGAAGACTGACATACAGACCAGTAAAATACCATGAAGAGCCCAGGAATTAGCTTTTACATTGGGGCAAATGATCTTTAGTAACATGATCATTCAATGAAGAAAGCGTAGTCTTGGCAGCAAAAGATACTGAGGAAACTGGATATTCACGGGCTGGAGAAGAAGGTGAAGGAGGAGGAGGAAGAACAGTAGCGAGAGCAAGAAGGGGAAAAATAGGTAGGGGAAGAACAAGACCAAGGGTGAGGGAAGAAGGAGGAAGACAGAAAAAATGTTGGGCTGTTGCTATACACCATACAGAAATTAATTCAAAATAGATGAAAGATAATAAATGTTAGAGCACAAACTAGAAAACCTAAAGGGGAAGAATCTTCATGACATTGGATTTGGCAGTGACTTCATAGTGTAACATGAAAAAGATACAAAACAAATGAAAAAACAGGGAGACTGGACTTCATCAATTTGGAAACTTTTGTGAATCAAAATACATTATGGAGTAGAAAGACAACCTATGGAACTGGAGACAATATTTGCCAGACACATATCTGATAAAGGGTTGATATCCAGAGCATATCAAGAATTCCTACAATGAAACACAAACAACCAGCTTAAAAAATGAACAAAGTACTTGAGAAGACATTCCTACAGAGAAGATACACAAATGGTCAATAAGCACATGAAAAGATGCTGAACATCAGTAGTCATTTAGAGAAGTAGAAATTGAAACCACAAGATACTGCTTCACCTACATCAGAATGGCCACTATACCAACAAACAAATGAGCAAACAAAACCAAACAGGAAATAACAAATATTTGCAGGATGTGGAGAAATTAGAACATCTGTGCATTTCTGGTAGGAACATAAAATGATACAAGCAATAAGAAAAATGGGATAGTGATTCCTCAAAAACTTAAATACAATTACCATTTGAGCCATCAATACCACCCCAAACATAACATAACTCCCCCAAATCTAAAGCACAGACTTGAACCTATATTTTTATTCCCATGTGAATATCAGCATTATTCCAACAGCCAAAAGGTAGAAGAAAGTCACGTGTCCATCTATGAATGAGTAGATAAGCAAATTGATACACAGTTACTGAGTTTTAAAAACAAAGGACATTTTGACACATGCCACAACATTGATGAACTTGTTAAGTGAAAGAAGCCAGTCATGAAATGACAAATTTTGGATGATCCCACTTATATGCTATTTGTAGAATAGTTAAATTCGTAGAGATGGAGAGTAGAATGGTGGTGAGGGACAAGGGTATAAGGAGTTGTTGTTTAATAGATACAGAGCTTTTCTTGGAGAAGAACATTCTAGAGATAGATGGAGGTGATAGCTACACAAAAATGTGAATTTACGTCATGATACAGAAACATACTCTTAAAATGTTTAAAAGGGTAAATTATACATTAGGTAAATTTTAAATCATAAATATGAATATGTAATACAAATTGGGCTTTTTTGCTTTTGGTGGTGGTGGTGCTGCGGACTGAACCTAAGGCTTCAAAGCATACAAGGCAAGCACTCTGCCACTGAGCTACATCCCAGCCCCAAAACATTTTTTAACCTTAAAAGTCCATGGAAACTTGAACTTACTACACAAACATTTTAATAACAGTCTCATAGTATATTACTGTGTAAATTAATTATTCATATTACTACCTTCCTCCTTCTGGAAAAGGATTATGATTTCTAAAAGGAATTTAGGGCACAGTGGGGAGAGCTGATGAGTTGACTTTTATCCCCTGGACAGAGAGTGGCAGATTAGCATTCAGTATTCCTCCCTGGCTCTTTTGTTTCCTCCCCAACCCCATGCAGGATGCTGGGCAGTGTGGGTGGACAGAGGGCTCAGCAGATCTTTGCTGGTAGCACTCACCTTTTTCCTTCCCAGCCAGCTTGTTCATCAGGTAGGATTTGCCTGTTCGGTAAAGACCCACAATAGCCACCACCACGACGGGCTGGGTGATGGCAGACAGGATCTTCAGAGCTTCCTGATTCACTGTCAGTTGCTCTTTCACATTCTCAACGAGGCACACTGGGCCTGGCATGTGGGTCTCTGAGGCCATGTCCAGCGTGTGCCCTGTTTGCAAGGGCAGAGGTGGAGTGAGTCAGCATATCAAGTCTCTTGCACTCAAGGTGGATTCATAAAATCGCCGGTCATGAACAAAATATTTTGTGTTCATCAACAAAATAGATGAGGGAAAACTCATATGATGTTGGGAATTTTTGAAAATATTACTAAAGTAGTTCATTTTTTTAAAGTTGTTATAACAGATACGACATCAATATTCCACTGCTCTCAAAACCCAGATCTTCCAGTTAATTTATTGTGAAAAAATTTCCTTTTGGATTCTGATTAAAAATTTACACAAGACATGAAATGGAAGACAGAATAGGATTTCGAGAATTTCTTTTTCATCCTGAGTATATGTAAAAAATTGAGCAAACATTTACTCATTAGTTAATTCTTATAATGAATAAAGATCCTCATGAATAAATGGTTCACTGCTTGATGTGTACCCTTTGGACAGTTTCCAGGGATTTTAAATGTGTTCCTTCTTCCCACCCCAGCAGCTATGCACGTTTCACTGGAATGAGGATCCACAGAATTTCTTACACTGCCTTCCCAGAAGGGAAACAAATACGAGTTACTTCTGCAAAGTTTATGAAAATACCTGACCATGGGTGCACACAAATAGGGACCCTTGCAGGACTTGGAGGGCCATAGGCAAGGTCAGTCCTGACACTAGGACTACCTGAGCTTCTCATTGAGTGAGCGTGAACTCAGTGAGGTGTGAGTGCACAATCCAAAGCTCTGGAAGATGCTAAAAATGACAATGAAATAAGGATTAGGAAGGCAGGAAGCTGATAGAGTTAGCTAGGTAAGGAGTTCTTCAAAGAAAATATATTTCCTGTAATATACATTTAGGTTTCTGCTTTTTTGCCCCCTATGTAGTAGAGAAGAAGAAGGAGAACTAGGAAGAGGAGGAACAGAAGGAGTGGAGGAGGTGGATGAAATGGAGTTGTCAACAGGAGAGAAAATTTAGACAAGAGGTGATGAATGAGGCCAGAGTCCACCCAGGCATTGAGGGGAGGAGTTTCCTGAAGGCAGGAATATTTGTCTGGGGTCATGGGAATGCCTAGGCAGGCCAGGAAGCCACCCTTGGCTCGGCACTACAGGAGATTCTATTAGAGGAAGCTCTGAGGTAAAGTACAGGGCTCCGATTCTGCTGGTGAGAAGTAAGCAGTGAGTTTGCCCTAAGAAATCAGTGAGTCCGGCGGGGGATTTAGCTCAGTGGTGCCGCCACCTGCCTCGTCAGTACAATGTCCTAAATTCAATGATCCCTGGTACAAAAAAAAAAAGAAAAAAAGAAAGAAATTGGTGAGTCTACATCTTTTCTGATGGAAGAAATCCAGTTTGAAATCAAGTCCAGATGTATAATTAGGAAGTAAGTTGCTTTCATCATCTTCACTTTTCCACCTGCTTCTCATTTCTGTGTTTTCCTCTCCTGCAGACAGTCGGAGCCCACGGGCAGCCCTGTCGCTTCCTTAGCTGCAGCGGGAGCAGTTCTGAGCAAGCCCATCTGTGACCTTGGTAATTTAATTGTGTCCCCAGTCAACAAAGACAAAGTCAAAAAAGAGGAAGGCAATCTCAGTTCAGACCCCTATGTGCTGGTGCGTAACTCCAGACAAGCCCAGCAGTGGCCCTAGGGACCTGCTTCTCTGATAAAATCTGCATTCCATCTGATCCCCTGTCCCATCTCAGGTTCAGCTGCAGTCTTTCACCATTTTGGTGGTTTTTAAGAAGAGTTTTAAAAAGTCACTGCATTTTCAAACCCCTTCACCCCAGGGTTAGGGTCCACTTGTACCTGACCAGAGTTCCTTCAAAGCTGGAGAGGCTGCTGGGAGGGAAGCCAGCGTCTTACCTGCTCTTCCACTGGTGTAGGCAGAGTGGCTTCTGACTTCTCAGTCTCTTGGTCGCTGAGTTTTTATTGCCTCCTCCAGTGTTGTGAGATTTCCTGGATTTTTTTGAGTCAGCAAATAGTGATAACCGTAAGAGCCGTTGTAAGAGGATTTAGAGTCCTGACGCTCAGTACACAGCCAGGAACGGGCTCCTTACGTCGCACGGGAGTTCCAGGCCCACTGCCAACCTATTTGCATGGATCGTACACCCTAAATCTCATAGTAAACACTTCCCCATAATTTTATAGAATCATGAGCACAGACAGGCTTTGTCAGTTGTCTCAAATCATAGCACTGTGAGTAAAATGAATCTAAGTAGCAACCTTCCCCTCCCCTCCCTCCCCTTCTCTTCCTCCTCCTCTTCCTTATTTCTGTAGTACGGAGGATTAAACCTAGTACTTTTGTACAGAGCCACATCCCCGGCCCTGTTTAACTTTTAAAATTAATTTTATTGGTACATTTTAGATATAGTGATCACATTCATCATAGGGAGTTTGTACCTGTATATGATAGATCTTGATTCTTTTTTCCCCCAATCCCGGCCCCTCCTTTCAAGCCCTCTTCCCCTCCTTATTTACAAAAGCTTGGTTTCCATTTTTTCTTCTATTCTCTTTTTTCTTTTTCCTTTCTTCCTTTTCCCCTCCCTCCTCCCTTGTTCCCTTTCCTGTTGTGAACATTTTCTTCCTATTTTACAATATTTATTATACATTTTAGTCTTTATTTACCTTTTGGTTTCTCACACCTGAGAAACAATGCAATATTTAAACATGTTCAACTAATTTCACTTAAGAGTATGGTGTCAAGATGCATCCATTTACCTACAAATGTCTCAAGTTTATCCTTCTTTATGGCAGAGTAGTACTCCATTGTAGAAAAAAACCACATCTTTTTTGTCCATTCATTGGTTGATCGACATTTAGGCTGTTTCCAAGATTTAGCTATTACAAACTGTGCTACTAGAAACATGGGTGTGCATATATCACTGTGCTATAATGCTTTTAATTATTATTATTATTATTATTATTATTATTTTCCAGTACCTGGGGTTGAACTCAGGACCTTGCACTTGTGGGGAAGGCACGGTGCCACTGAGCTACATCCCTGGCCCCCATGCTTTTAATTCTTTTGGGAAGATACCAAGAAGGGGAAGAGCTGGGCCAAATGGAACCTCTAGTTTTAGTTTTTTGAGGAAATCTCCACACTGATTTCCACAGTGAATTTTTGGAGAAAATTCTTGCTAAGTTGCTAAGTTGTTCAGGCTGAGCTCAAACCAGCAACCCTTCTTCTTGAATGAGCTTATTACACTGTCTATATGTTGCTGAGTGAAATACAGAAAAAAATTGTTTTATTTGTACAATATTTTGTAAGAACGTATGTTATGTGTAAGTTCATTCCTGACTACAATCATGCAAAGTAAGTGGTAATTTCTCTTTTACAGTTGGAAATAGCAATAGCATGGTGCTATGGCTTAGATATGGTTTGCATGTGTCCCTTGCGAATTCATTTGCTGTGAGCTTCATCCACAGTGTGGTGAGACTGAAAGGTGGTGCAGCCTTTAAGGAGTGGGACCTGGGGGAAGCGATTGGCATTTAAGAGGGGTTAATACTTTTCTTGAGGCACTGCGTTATGGCTTTTGTGGAAAGTTCCAGGAGAGTGTCTTGTTTAAAGAAATGGGCTTGACCCCTTTTTCTATCTCACCATGTGATGTCTTTCTCCCTCACTGCAGGCCTTCTTGACATGGTGGCATCCACTATGTTGTGACATATCAAAGAGTCCCTTACCAGAGGCCGAACAGGTGGGGCCAGACTATCATGGCCTTTCTCCTTCCACAAGTGTGAACTAAATTAGTCTTTTCTTTCGTGTAAAATACAGGAAAGGTGTTTTTTCTTTCATTTTTTAAAAAAAATAGCAGCACAAAACTGACAGAGCTTAAGTATATTCCGCCTAAGTTTCCTAAGCAAGTCACAGTAGTGGGATGCACATTTTAAGCTCTTTAACTTTAAACTCAGTGCTATTTTTTCTTCTTCTCATTCATTCTGTAAGGAAAGAAATAAGAGAAAAGGAAGGGAGAGATTTACAAAATTCTCTATTGTCCTCATCCAACTATATTGCTCCATGCCCAGAAGCCAGGACCTAAAATTTAAAGAATAGAGATAGATTCTCACTTTTCATTTCCCTTATTACTGTGATCTTTTAAAATATTTCTGAAGCCTGGTATGGTGGCACCTGCCTATAATGCCAGGACTCCAGAGGGTGAAGCAGGAGGATTGTTATGAGTTCGAGGCCAGCCTGGGCTGCATAGTGAGACCTCTGTTTGAAAAAAGTAAATAAATAAAAATAAAATATTTCTGGGCAAGTAGCATTTTAATTTTCTCTAAAAGTTAAGTTCATCTGAGCCTTTCGGTTGCTGGAACACAACCAGGTTCTTTACGTCCACAGAATTTTGCTTCTGAATTTTGCCTGCCTCCATCTTGGCGAGATTGTCTGTTTCTTGTACTTGAGGTCTCCACAAATTGGCATGTTCTCAGAAAAGTCTACCGTGACTTTTTCTCAATCTCCACTTAATTTAATTTTTTTTCATTTCCTTTTTGACTACCTGAAATTGAAACTCATGCTACCAGGAGCTTCACGTATCCACAGATGCATCCCCCCGTGTGGCATAATATGGAAGTTTGGTGGATACCACATGTGGCTGAGTAAAAGATGACCCTGAATATGAAACCAACCCCACATTTGTGCCAATTTGAATATATAAAATTTGAAGCATAGAGAAACTAGTGAAATCTCTATGTAAAGTATTTATTTGTTAACTCAGTCATACACATAACATACAACACATGTAAATATAATTACAATATACTGATTTTATTATACTTTGAAAAATAATTTTATTCCTACTGTTTATTTTCTTCTACATTTTCTTTGTCCATTCATTTGTTTTGTTTTTTTTTTTGGTACCAGGAATTGAACTCGGGTCCTTGCGCTTGCGCAGCAGGCCGCGAAACCACTGAGCTAAATCCCCGGCCCTGTCCATTCATTTGTTAATGGGCATAGAGGCTTCTTCCAAGATTTAGCTATTGTAAATTGTCCTGCTATACACATGGGTATGGATGAATGACTGCAATATTATGTCTTTAAGTCTTTCCGGAAGATACCCAGGAAGTGTTGAATGGATTTAATGTCTAAGTGTAAAGTTAATTAAAATGAGGTGACCTTTTTCCTGTGCACATACCATTCCCACTAGGGGAGAGGTCACAATTATTGTAAAAGGCAGTTGTCAGGAAACTGTAAAACAGAGACTGGGATGATTGCAAACAAACATAACACAGAGATCTTTAAGAAACAAGACTCTGATGAGTCATCTTTTTAGAGTCAAGGTCCAAGATGCTAGGGAACTAGCTGACCAAGGTAAGATGTTCATAGCCCCTGGTGGAGAACTGGCATTTCTTGGGACTAATGAACTCTTCTGGCGCCCACTCACCTGAGACAAGTACAAGCCTTCAGTAAACATTCATCGATTGAGTGAATCAAAACTGTGGCAGTGAACACATGGTTTAAAGATTATGCTCTTTTGTTTGATACTTTTTTTTTTTTTTTTGGTACCGGGGATCGAACTCTGGACTGAAGGCAGGCGGTGGGACCACTGAGCTAAATCCCCAGCCCGGATTATGCTCTTTGGAAAGAATTTTGAGACATATGAAATTTGCTTTAGAAAATATTTGCTGTCCCTCCCCCACCTCCCAGTGTTCACTGGGCTTTTCAGTCTGCCTTCACTGCTCCACTGAGGCGGGCAGCAGTGACACCCATTAAAAGGCAAGTTTTGATTCCTCTTGGGAAAGCTCATGTATTTACAGTCATTTTCACTACATTTACATCTCAATACTTGGCTACTTTCAGGCAAAGAAGCCAGAGTGTGTGTGATAAGAAGTAAAATGCCTGTGGGATCTACTATTGGCAGCAGTGTATTACATTACAAGTGTTATTAATGAATTTTTCTTTTGCATGTGCTTATGATGTAGGTGTCATTATTTGCATTTTTTCTGGAACAGTATATACAGTTTAAAAATGTGTAGTGTATCAGATGTGTAAATACCGAATAGTTTCTCTGGTGTGAGAAACTGAAAGTGTAAATAAGGACTAAATGTATAATAGGTCATGTGAAATAGGAAGAAAAGGGGCAAAGGGGAAGGAAGTGGGAGGGCTAGGGGAAAGGATAGAAGGGAATGGGATTAATATGAGAAAATGGAAAAATAGAAACAAAATTTTTGTAAATAGGGAGGACTGGAGGGGTTGAAGGGAGGGCTGGGCAAGGGTGAAAAACAAGAACCAAGAGAGACTATGTAAAGGTGCAAATTTCCAATGATGAATGTCATTATATTGTATACCTAAAATGTACCAATGATTAGAATGAATAATTGATAATGTAGAATAGGAATAAAAGGTCCAAAGGGGTAAGGGTAGTGGGAGGGGCAGGGGAAAGGAAAGAAGGGAAAGGAAAAAATGATGGGAAATGGAAAAAAATGGAAATAAAGTCTTTGTAAATAGGGAAGGGTAGAGGGCGTGAAGGGAGGGCTAGGAATGGGGAAAAAATAAGAACCAAGATGCATTATATAAAGGTACAGTTCCCAATGAGAAATGTAATTGTGTTGTATACCTACAATGTACCAATAAAAGAATTTAATACAAAAAAAAATGTGTAGTGTATATTTCATAGCTGCCTGTCACCTGCTTGTCCTGACAGTAAGTTGATTTGAGGTTTCCTGAAGGATGAGTGAGTGTGTTACAAGTTCAGGTGAGGTTCCTTTGTGGCTCTGTTTTCCAAAGTGAGCTGAATTGTTTTGCTAATCTATGTCTCCCTCTATGTTCCTTAAGTTTGAAGTCTGAGTAGTCTTCCAGTAAATGAGAAATCTCAGGCCTTCTCCATTTTTACTCCCAAATAAAGGGTTTTTGGTGTCTGTTCAGGATGGCTTGAAACTAGCTTCCTTTTGAATAGAAAGTGAAAGCATAGTGAGCTCTTCATTTCTTGGAAATCTATGAGATTTTAGAGTAACAGATCCTTTCCTACCACAATGAATCAGCAGGAGGCTTGTTGGTTCTGTTTGTACTTCAGGCTGCTGAAAAGTTTTCTGGGGATTTTTTTTTTTCAAAGT